CGAGCTTGGTAGTCAATTGCCATTCGATAGCGTTCATGCCGTCACTGTGCCTGGCGCTGCTGCTGCTTGGTGCGACACTGTGCGTCTGCTGGGATCGGGCAAAGTGACGCTGAAACAGGTGTTGGCGCCGGCTATCAGGATGGCAGAGGATGGCGTGCCCATCTGTGCGCAGACGGCTCACGATTGGGCGCGCGGCGAGGCGTTGCTGAAAAAGGCGTCTGCCAATGCAAAGGAGATGCTGCACGCCATCAGCGGTGCTGCGCCCAAAGAAGGCGAGATCATGCGCTATCACGGCCTTGCGCAGACGTTCAGACTGCTGGCAGAGAAGGGCAAGGATGGATTTTACAAGGGTCGCGTGGCGCAAGAGATTGTCAAGGTGGTCCGTGCCAGAGGCGGTCACCTGACCCTTGAGGATGTGGCGCATCACGGCGAGCAAGGCAGCGAAGAGGTGCAGCCCATCTCTTACAATTACAAGAGCGGTGCTGCATGCGCTGGAGGCAGCAGCAGCGAGGCGGCAGCAGTCAGGCTGTACGAGTGTCCGCCCAACGGACAAGGATTGGTGGCGCTCCAAGCCCTGTGCATCCTCGACGAGCTGCAAGCATCGGGCAAGATCCAAGCACTGCTGTCCATGCAGCACAACTCTGCAGATTACCTCCACGCACTCGTGGCCGCGCTGAGGCTCGCCTTTGCAGACGCCACCGCCTTTGTCGCTGATCCCGCTCACGATGTGCAAGGCGCAGAGAGGGTGGAGAAGATGTTGAGCGACAAGTATGCCAAGCAGAGAGCTGCGCTGTTTGAAAGCGACAGCATCCAATCCTTCAAGAATGGCAATCCCACCAGCAGCACCGATACGGTCTACTTTAGCGTCGTCGATCAACAAGGCAATGCTTGTTCCTTTATCAATTCCAACTGTGAGCGCATCCTCCCTTCGCAGCTCCTCACTCGCTCCCGCTGATTGCCCTTTCTCCCCCCTCACGACTGCTCGCCAGATGCCGGCTTTGGTAGCGCTATCATTCCAGCTGGGTGTGGCTTCACGCTGCAGAATAGAGGAGCAGGCTTTGTCCTGGAAGAAGGACACTTGAACTGCGTCGCACCGCGCAAGAGACCATATCACACCATCATTCCCGCCATGGCGACGCATCTAGTGCCGGATGGTAAGGGCGGTCACAAGGAAGACGTCTTACTCTGCTACGGCGTGATGGGTGAGTCGATCATGTGCCGGTGTAGGCCTTCTCGTTGATCTATTTGCAACACTGTCTGACGCCGTGCATTGCCTTTTCACGACGAAAGGTGGATATATGCAGCCTCAAGGACACGTCCAAGTGCTCCTCAACATCCTCAGAGGCATGTCTCCCCAAGCCTCTCTCGACGCTCCTCGCTTCGTCATCGGTGCAGGCACACCCGATCAAGGCGATATTTTCTCCCAAGTATTTTTGGAGCAAGGTATACCGCAAGAGGTGGCTGCAGAATTGAAGAGACGAGGACATGATGTCAAGATCGTCGAGGGCTGGGAGAGTAGAAAACAATTCGGAAAAGGTCAGGTGATTAGGAGGTTGGACTTTGGAGATGGCGCAAAGGGCTGGGCAGCTGGAAGCGATCCCAGAGGTGATGGAGCGGCTGTTCCTCAAACTTGAAGCAGACGCCATCTCGTGCCCTCTCCCCGCCAAATGTCGGAATAGCTTAGCATGCACAAGTGGTGCCAATGATCGGCTTGGCAAATTCCTTCACGTCGATGCTCCTAACGAGGTTTTCTTGCCATGGCGAGGCGACTAAGGGTCTTGCAGCTTGCATCTGTCCTCGTGCACACCCTCACCCTTCGCGAAAGCGACGAAAAGGTACCAATATGGATTATTTCTGTCTGCGCTGCGCGTGATTCCTCTGTTCAAGCTCTTCAAGCAATGCTACTCACCGGCTTTGTTCTGACAGCTCGAGGCGGTATCGAGCAAGGGTATCCAGCTTTCATCACCTGCTCATTCCTGCCTTTGGCTTCAGAAGGTTTCTGGCCGATCATCTGCTAATGCTTGGCCCCAACGCGTCGAGCCGATCGCTCTCTTCTTGATTCGTGTCGATCTCTCTTCGACCTTTATTGGCCCAAGTGCTGATTAGCAAGACGGACGCAAAAGCAAGTATGCTCAAAATATGGTAAAGCATACTTTTCCGCAATCGCGATCGCGATCGGGATTGAGATAGAGTGGAGAGTGAGAGGATCGCTTCGAGTATGAGGCAAATCTGATGCTTGCCGAGTATGCATAGACGGACGTGCTCGGACAGTGTCTAGAGCAGGCGTCCAGCTGAGGTGGTCTGAATCGGCCGGCGTTCCCATCCAAGTATCGTGGCTGGGAAAGGGAAAGAAAATTGGTGGGAAGAGCTGGTGAAGTACATGGTGTGCGTTGCCGATTGCCAGCACCTGAAACTTAATTGTTATCCACCACGCTCCAAAACACCACGTTGCCGCGGCGTATACCTCGGGTCCACATGCACTCAGTCCGCAACCCCATCAGCGAAGCACGTTTGTGGCGCGCAATTGTATTGTGTGCCGCCCATCCTCCACGAAGACTAGCCACGCACTGCGAAGCGGCGTTTCATTGACCGGGCCGATAGGAAGAGATCAGGACGAAATCATAACAAGGCATCGCATTGACAGTGCTTCGTCACAAGCTCGCTTCTGCGTAGAGGCCTCCAGAAATACTGAGGCTTGCAGGGGAGCTTTGTTAGGATCAGGACGATAGCGATGCACTGTCTATGTGCCGCTCTAGATGTTGGGAGTGGATGCTTGGCGGTGTGGCATAAAACCCATCAAGTCTCTCGCGAACGCGACTTGCAAGTCGCAGATGCGATAGTGGGTCGTGCAGTGGGGGTTGGAAGATTACATGTGCTGAGGAGTATGCCGAATGGCTACATTGCAAGGGCCGCGGTGTGACTGAATGCTGGTGGCGTGAGACTGGGATTCGAAGAGGTGATGAGAAGAGAGAGGGAAGCAAAGATATGCTGGGAGCGGAGGCCGGGTATAAGCGGTGAGGAACAGCTCAGAGGCTGACATTCCACTTCCACCTGCCCTCTCGATGACCTTCTGACGTATCGCTAAGCATAATGTCGCGCCTCTTGGAGACGTAAACAGTCAAGTCTGTAACGCGCTGGCGCAATGCCGGAATAGTGTCCTTCTCGATGGGTTTCTCGAGCTCTCCGCTGAGCTCTTCCACAGCCCTCTCTAAATCTCGCTGATTGTCCTCAAAGAGCTCCGTCATGTTGTCCTTCTCTAAATAGTAAGCCATTGCGTAGGTCCATTTGAGTGTCATGCGGCACTCGCTTAGAGTGTCCACTGCTTTCTTTAGGAATTGCACTTCAATCCAGGTCAAATCCGAGGTGAGTTGCATCTCCTCCATCTTCTTTTCCGTGCGACCATACAAATCTTGATCCAGTCGTGCAGATTGCTCATGATTGGCGAAACGGTTGAAGTACTGAATGCATCGTGCAACGCGACTCGAGGTAAGTATGGTACGAAGCTTTCCCTCTGCGCTCTACTCACGTGCAAATACCTGGCCAACGATGCTCGAGATTTTGCCTGGTCATGTCTTGCAAGTTGACCGCTCTTTTCGTCGAAGCGATTGCAATTGTACCAAGAATTTCCATGCTCTGACCACGGGCCTGAGCAAATCCAACACCACTCGTGCTTGCACTTTTTACAGGTCATGTGGTTGCACCCTCCGTTCTTCTCAATCGTGCTATCACATTTGGGGCACTCCTTCGTGTTGGCAGAGATCCAGTTGGCGGTCTCTGAATCATCCTCGCATTTCTTCGACCAAAGTCTCGTGACTGGGCAAATGGCGGGCGCGTGAGACGCCAAGCCGCATCCGAAGCAGAAGACATTGCCGCAGTCGCAGGTGACTGTTGGAATCACCGTTCGCAAAGCCTTCGCTGGTACATGACATTCGATGGCATTCTCGCAATTTGGCGCGGGACACCATCGCATGATGGCGCTGTCGTCTACGTAGGTTCGATTGAGCAGCCTCTTGTATCTGCGCACACGACTGCATGTTAGTAGCAAGCCTCGCCACTTTGAGGCTCAGAAACCAGCCTCAGCTCACCTTTCGTAGACATCTGGCTCGGCGACGAGTCCGACCGTGTTCTCATCGACAATGAGTACACATTTTTCTTGCAAGCACTGCACCCGCCTGCTCTCCCCTTCGCCCCCGATCTTCTGCGTCAAGTAGCTCGCGTAGCAGTCCGTGCAAAAGCGGTGGCCACAGCTGAGCGCGAGCGTATCCATCGTTCCCCCTGGCATGTCCTCGCTCGACAGGAAACAGACCTCGCAAGTGAAGTCCTTCCGTGGAGAGATGCGTGATGAGGATCCTTCGGCAGTCAAGATCCCCGCAGCAGACGCGACCGAGTCTGGATCATCCATGTAGCGTTCGATGAGCCTTTCCTTGTTCCAAGAAAAGTGTCGGAGCAGGATCGCCGCATCGGTAGTCTGTGAGCGCAGGAAAAGTGATCAGTCAAGCTTGACCAGCATGTACCTCACAGCTTTTGGAAAGCGAGGAGATCGAGGGAGGCCTCCCAGGCTGACGGTATCATTGCTGGCTGCCTTGTTGCAACCAAATACTCACCTTGATGGCGAACATGTTCTCAATCTGCGTGATTTCCTTCTCTTGTGCTGTCACGATGGCCTTCGGCGACCGGCACCAACTTTCGACCTCTCCGCGTTTATTAGCTCCGCTCTGAGAGCCAGGTCCAATGAAAGAGTCGCCCATCACGTCCATTTCGCCATCTACATCGCCCTCGTCCACGTCTTCAGCTTCGGTGTCCAAATCTCCTTCAGAGCCTACATCCGACCCAGATCCCAGGTCCGACATGAAAGCTGTGTCATCCATGGCGCCTTCGTCATAGTCACCGAGCGAGGAGAGAGAGTCCTCATCCATACTGTCTTCCACGTAGCTCTGTGATCACGAGAGGAGATGGTCAGCTGCGCGCACCCGACACGCCTCTCTGCACAGAATTGCGAGCCCCTGACATGGCGGATGAATCGCTGCTTGCGGGCCCAGCAACATGGGAGCACTCCAGATCAGCCCACTTACCTCAACTACGGGAGCATCTGGCGGCGGCATGTTCCTCCTCTGAAGTGAAGTGGCTGCTCAGAAAGACGACCAAGACACGAGTGATCTTGATTCCTGGCGGCGGTCACAGGTATGCTCGGCGAATCTAGGAATGTCGGTTCGCGATGGGGGATGCAGCTCTCTATTTGTCTATGCTCTGGCTTGGTGGCGAAGGGTGAATGGTACGGGACACTGGACGAAGGTCGCACCCGGCGCAAAGGTCAAGAATCTTGCAACGTATTGATGGGCGGTGATGGTGGCGGTGAAGTTGATCTAATCGATGCATTCTCGATTGGACATCTCATCGCAAGCATCTTTCATCACTCGCCGGCTCAGCATCACCGTGCAGCTGAAGCGCGCACACGCGTGCTCGTGTGGCGCAGCGGCCCTCGCCGCGCGTGTACATACACAAGTAGGCCGCCGTCAGAGTGCACCGCATGCATGCGCATCACATGTTCATCCATGCACGCTGCTGCTGCATGTCTGTTCGGTCACGGGGAGTGACTCAGACCAGTCGTGAGTTGTTCAAGGCTGTACAGTACCGATACACAGCGCAAGTCGTTCACCATCGCCGCTGACATCGATTGAGCAGACGACCACATCGTGTGGCAAGCGAAGGGGTGTGATCAAAGAGCAGCTCGATGCCAATCCAGCATGTGTCGCTGCAACGCTCGTCCAAACGCGTCCTTCCGGAGTTGACTGCGCACAACAAAACAGGTGCTCCTCACGAAAATCGTCACACCTCCGTCAACTCTCAAGATCATGAATGAGCTCAGATTTTGACAGAAAGTAGATGAGAGACACAGCTACCTTTTGAATTAGACAGTCGAATGTCATCATTGACGAGGTTGGCTGAGAGTCTTGTAGTGTGTAAAGTATGTTTCCACAGCCCACGGCAAAGGACAAAAATGGATACTCAACTTTCGAAGTCAACAAGGCTATCTATGCATCGCGTCTTACGGCGACCATAACTCGATTGATTGGGGGAGGCACCTCTCCCGGCCTTTTTTTGTTTTTTTTTAAGTATCGCATGTCATTATTGACCTAATTGTATAGGAGTCTTTGAATGTGTAAGTACGTAAGCACGGCCCGCAAAAGAGAATCAAAATGGTTATATAGCTCGAGTGCCGCAGCACGGGATTGAACCGTGGATCGCTGCATTATCAAGGATTCGAAAGCACCAAAAGCGCTCCTCACCACTAAATTTACAAGTGCAGTGCCTTACCACTTGGCCACTGCGGCATGCCAAAAATTGTGCGCTCAGTGTTTCTATATTCAAATTGACGGTGTCGACAACTTGTACGCACGTATCACGGATGTGTCTAAAAATCGTGAATGTCACACCAGATATCCTCAAAAATAATGATGGTGCTGCTTGTCACCCGCTGGCATGCGCGGCGCGCCTTCATCACTTGTTCCTCGGCCCGCAACTCTGGCCATCTGATTCTGTACAGCTTTTGATTGCGAGCTCACCTTGTCCCTACATGACTTGTGAAGCTCCGCCGTGATTGGATAGCATCACCGCAGGCGGTCCCTAGGTCAAGCACATGCAATGAAGCGCTTCCGTCAACGGCGGTCCGCGCTTTTGCCGTGCGGGGTTTGCGCCGGCGCTAACAGCAGAGGGGCCTTATATAGGAGTCAAGCTAGCTTCTGGCGTCGCCTTGCAGAAGTATCAAGCGAGACTAAGTGTGAAGGAGCGGGCTGGATGATTCACTCGACTTCATATAGCTGTAATACTGACCCAAGCTAGGTCCACGCCACTCGGTCCTTCAGAATCAAAGTCATGCTGACCATCAGCGACAGCACAGGCAAGACACTTGCCTCGAAGCTTGATCAACGCGCTGTTTCGCCATGACGCGAGATACCCGCGCGCAGGAGGCGGGTATAGCCGCGCGATGATTTCGCGCATTTTACGAACGCGAGGACCACCAAATCTGTTTCAGCGCGCCTGACACCATATATAACGGCACCGCGGGCGATATGGGTCAAGCCACTCCGCGCGGTGCCGACCGATCGTTTCAGTGAAGGCGCGAAAGTTGCTCTGCTCAAAGCTATATACGGCAAAAGTGGACCGAAGACAGCGCTTCTAGTTGTAGCCGCTTGGACAATCGTGAATGCTAATTGTGCTATGCTCTTGACTGGTGACTGTAGCACCGTTCTCGAGAGGCCATAACGTGGCTGTCGCTCCGTATGCACGGATGCCTTTAACATTCGGAATCCATGGGCAGGGAGGGTTTGGCAAAAGCGAATCGAGTGTGCGCCTGGTCATCACACATCGCTCCTGTACCTCTGAGGCTTGAGCGCCGAGCGCCCTCATGGCGCAGTCAGTTCTTCTGTGAAGATGGGAACAAGAGGCGCCAAGGAATTAGATTGAAAAGTTCGCCTCGCCCGAGCTTCTTCCTATAGGCTTTCAGGAGATACACGCGATACACAGCCACGGTGGTGTTTAATGGCATGAGGTCATAGAGGTTGACCCCAAGCAAGGCACTCTGCGCGAGCAATCACAGCTCGCGCTAGACCTTGCCGCGCTCGCACCGCTAGCTAGCTCATTTAGGAAGGAGTACAAGCATCGGCTGACATAGACCGTGCAGAGCCCCATCAATCGTGAATGCTGAATTTGACATGGATGCTCAGTCTTCGTCATTGGCGCTAAAACGGATTGTTAGTTTTGATGTTGCGTCGAGACCTCACCAAGGAGCGAACAAACCAATCATGGATGTGAGACTCAGACTCGACTCATGCAAAGCCCCTACAGCATGATGTGTCTCTGATGACTATGGAGCACGTTCTGACGCGGTAAACTCGGACTGCCCCGCCCGCTCCCACGCACCGGGGACCTGCATGATATGCCTCTGACATTTTGCACCCACACGCACCACTCTAACAGTGACCGGGGTCATCTTCATTGAGTGAGAACTGTGCGTAGATTGGATTTGGTGATTGATCCGTCCCCCGCAAGCCTTTTCGCGCAGTTCGCGCGGCAGCTAAGGCGCTGGCTGGCCCCACAGGGCATGGAAGTAGCTAGAGCATGCATCAGATGCGGGTAAAGGGGGGCCCGGGGCATGCGTGCAGCAATAATAAGAGGAGCTAGGTGCGAACGATTGCTTGAGCGCGCGGAGTCCCTACCGTGATGATCGAACATCGTTTATATACAGTACCTATATATGCATCATACCCAGCATGCATGCGCATGAACCATGATGCACAAATGCACGCACCTGTAAGCCCGCTGCTGCGCGGCGCTTCTCTTCAGGGAGTAGTCGGCCTCGGCGTCACACGATCGGAGGCTGAGTGCGAAGTGGAGTCGTGCCCGCGGCTGCATGGCACGCATGGCAACCTTGCTGAGTGACACCGCGGCGATCCAATCGTCGATGGATCGAGCGCCGCGAGGGGAAGTTCCGAGACGATGTCGACCGGCACTGCTGCGAGTGCGAGGCGAGGTGTAGTGTACATGTTATATGAGCAATCGACGAAAAGGACCTCGCCTGCCGCGTCCTCTTTCATCCCATCTTTGCCGCCGAGGCTCTTCATGTGGTCAGGCTCGTTCTGGTCGTGGCACTCCGCACGCTCGACCCCTTCTCCCCTTTGCTTAGAAGCAACCATCACCACACCGGCTTTGACGTCGACACATTCTCTTGTCACATCATCCACCACGCTGCCACGATGCGGCTGCACTTTGCTCTCCTGCTGAGCATCATCGTGGTGATCACCACTTGTAGCAGCGTACAGGCATCGCTTGAAGGTTCAGAGAAGCAGCTCAAAAAGATCTGGGCCGCTCTGGCAGACCTCACAAGAGATGAAGGTCAAAGGTCCATGTCGAGCTCTGAACGCCAAAAGACCATTCAAGACATCCAAGCGCTCATCGATCCCGATGCAAAGAGCCTTCGACAGGGCGAGGATGGCATGCAGGCTGGCACAGCCGGCTACTCCCCCCCTAGCGGCGACCTTGAGAAACAGCTCGAGGCGATCGCCAACATCTCGGCTGTAGACTACGCGGATGCCATCACGAGAGAGGCCAAGGAGTACGCGGGCTCCAAAAGCGCATTCTACCCCTTTGCACCCCCTAGCATACCCCTTGCTGTGAAAGGGTGAGTTGCTGCCGATGTCACGCATCGAGCCTAAGGACCTTCGCTGATCGCCGACCTCGCATTCGCGTTCGCGTCCATACCATCTCTGATGCGTTGCAGACCATGTGAGTACTGCAACCCCTGCCCCCACTTGAGCGCACATGGTGCAAAGAACGACACTGACCTCTAGAGCGCTCTTGTCTTCCACGCAGATCTCAACACTTGGCTTCCCGCTGGCTCATGGTATCAGACCACGCCTCCAAACGTGGCGGGAAACGGTGGTTTGCTATACGGTCAGGACCCTGCTTTTTGGACCTCCAGCTACGGCGCTGATGGCCAGTTCCGCATGGCGTGGAACGGCCTGATCCGCATTGACAACACAACGCACCAATGGATGGGGAACGCTTTTGGGACGACTGTCGCCAAGGGCCCGAATGCCAAGCAACTCTCTGCTACAGTCACCGCTACGCGGTCGATCTTTGAGTTCGAGGCAGACGGCGTCAAGTTCAATGCTACATTCCTGACTCCAGTCGAGCCATTTGATTGGGTCAGACAGAGTGAGTTGTCAAGCGGGGCAGCGCACGCATCCAGCCAGCGAGCGTCAGGCGCAGCAGCGCGCTGACTGTGAAGCTCCTCCCTGCACTCTTCCTCGCAGGTCTGCCCCTTAGCTATTTGCACGTTGAGCTGGACAGAGCGAGTGCCAAAGGTCGAAGCGTCCAGATCTACACAGACATCGACGAGCGTTGGATCACGGGCCACGACTGTGATTATGAAAACTACCCGACCAAAATGGTGAGTTGAAGCAGTTGCGCTGGATGGAGACTGGTGCGCAGAAACTGTTGAATCTGAGAATTTGACCGCGCCGCTGCCTGAATTTAGCGCTGGAACGGCAACAACAATGGGTCCTTGTCATACTTCCTCGAAAGGACTGTCCCGGAGAAGTACACCGAATTCCGTCAGAGGGCCGAGTGGGGCACGACAGTCTACGCTACCCGCGACCGCCCTGGATTGACCTCACGCAACAACAACAACGTTGTGGCTCAATTCGAATTCTTGCAGAAAGGGCGCGTGTCCATTGATCACTTCCCAGTAGGCGGCCCGGACAATGCTTTCTCGTTTGCAGTCGACTTTGACAACAAAAAGGGAAGCGATGACGCCATTTTTGCTGTCGGTCAGTTCCGAGATCCTCTGGTCAACTACATCCGTGCCGGATCAGCCCAAGGCTCCAGCTATCTCGAGGACAGGTACGGCCTATGGCGCACGGAATTCGACACTGTCGATGCCGCCACAGCATTCTTCGTACAGGACTTTGAGAATGCTCTCAAGTCTGCCAAGAAGCTCGATGCTCAGATCGATGCTGACGCTAGAGCTGCAGTTGGCGGTGGTGACATCGGAGAGAAGTATGCTGGGATCGTCGCCCTCTCCGTTCGTCAGAGTCTGGCTACGATTGAGATTACTGTCAGCCGCGACAGCAAGACCGGCAAGTACAACTCGACGGACACTCTGATTTTCCTCAAAGAGATCAGCAGCAATGGTGACATGAGTACAGTGGACGTCATCTTCCCTCAATTCCCTCTTTTGACCTACCTCAACCCAGAGCTGCTTCGATCTCTGCTCGAGCCCATCTTCATCTATACTGAGAGCGGCATGTACCCCAACAAGTGGTGTGTGCACGATCTAGGTGTCTATCCTTCAGCGTTCGGACACAACGATGGTAACGACGAACCTATGCAAGTGGAAGAAAGCGGAAACATGATTCTCATGGCTCTGCACTATGCTCAGCTTCAGGGCGCGAAAAAGGCGACTCCTTGGTTGAAGCAGCATTATTCGATCATGCAACAATGGGCGCAGTTCCTCATCGAAGACTCTCTTATCCCCGCTACCCAGCTCTCCACAGATGACTTTGCAGGCGAGCTGGCCAACCAGACCAACCTGGCTCTCAAGGGTATCTCCGGCATTGCAGCTATTGGAGAGGTCGCCACGTTGCTCGGCAAGCATTCAGATGCTAAACAATACCAAAATGTGTCTGCGACATACATTCAGTCCTTCTACGGCTTTAGCATCTCCAAGGACGGCTCCCACACCAAGCTGGCATACCAGGACGATAGCAGCTGGGGCACCCTCTATAACCTCTTTGGCGATCGCCTGCTAAACTTGCAGCTCGTGTCGCGTGAGATTTACGATATTCAAGACAGCTGGTATCCCAAAAAGGCAGCCAGGTACGCTGTGCCGTTAGACAGCCGTCATGGCTGGGCCAAGACGGACTGGGAGCTCTTCACCTCAGCAATTTCTGCCAGCAATGCCACGCGCAATCTCTTCATCGAGAAGGTGTACGACTTTGCATCGAACGGCCGCACGGATGCACCATTCACCGACCTGATGCACTCCATCACGGGCGATTTTCCAAAGGAGCCCTACGACCCTCTCAAGCTATTCCTTGCTCGTCCAGTCGTCGGTGGTCATCTCTTCCACATGGCGCTGGCTAAGGCTGACAAGGTGAATGGCATCAGCGCTTCGAGACCGTACAAGTACGGACCGCCCATCAAGTCGAAGAAACCACCCAGCAAAGAGCGATTGGACGAGATCGCAGGAATCATTGCACGAGCCAAGCAAGGTGCTCTGGGAGGCATCACTACGCCCTCAGGCTTCCGGCAGGGCGGCAACACGCCACCGAAGGCGCAAAAGGCTGATGCAAGCTCAAGCAAGTCTGCCGGCGCAACCTCAACGAAGCTGAAGAAGCACGTGACGCGCACAGCCCACGAAGAGAGCCACCATACGGCTGCGTATCATGCTACTGACCGCACTGCTGCTCGTCACGCAGCGATGAGGGGCGGTCAAGCAGCTTTTGGTGCCATGCGCGCTTAGAATGGGCAATTTGCTGAGGCTTGTTGGCACCCTGGGCACAAGCTTCTGAAGTCTTTTGAATATCTTGTGATGGTGTTGACGCTGCCACGGAGCGACGCAATACATGGCATTCCTATTCCCAATAACACGTGCAAGTTGTTTTGATGTTTGCTGAAGAGCGCTGGGTGCATAGATGTTCTCTTCCTTCGACTTATGACAAAGCAGTCGCACGGAACCTTTGCTCGACTTGCGAAGTGGGATCATCACGCTGTGCAAGATGCTCGATTGGGTCGCAAGCGTGACCGTCGCTGTGATTCGAGACTTGCTTCAAAAGGGGGCCGTGATGTGAATTGACCCGCACGGAAATCGATCAGAATGCAGAAAAGCCCCAGCAGCATCAATCGTGAGGATCTTTGAATCGTGACTGGAGTCGCGTGCTCTGACGCCTGTGCAGCAGCCGTGCCCAAACTCAAATCAATCACGATAGTCGTGATTTCGACGATCAAAGTCGTGCGAGCGCCGCACTTGCTGATGCATGCTGCTCCGCGCTCACTCGACACGTCTCACGACTGATGCATGCATCACGTGTGGCGCCGCCGCGCTCGTTTCAGCTTCCTGCACGGGCTGTTGATTGGTGATGTCACAAGACAAGGACTCAGTCGATGTTGCTCGCAACCATCATCGCCCATCGCACTAGTCTTCTGCGAGCACCAATTCATTCGCGTACATCTATTCACAATTAGCATCCGTCTTATCTCAGTGACAGGACTTCGCCACCGCAACTCACTGGCCCACGACCACGAATCTCGATCCGACGTCACAAGCTTGCGCATACAAGGCCCTAAGATTCAGGCCTGAAGCGATCACGAGCCGCGGTTCCGCTCTTGCTGCTTCAGAATTTCGCCAGCACGTATACAGGACGCTCGATCGAAGAGCCACGATGGATCACGGCGACCACCACTCGCCTGGCATGGATCATGGAGGCGGGGAAGGGATGTGCGTACCGGGGCAGCGTTCCTGCTCTCCTTCACCGCCAGCGTGCAAAATGTCGATGTTGTGGAATAGAGAGACGGAAAACATTTGCATCGTGTTCAGATCTTGGCAAATCACCAATCGAACATCCTTGTTGCTTAGTCTGCTGATCATCGTGCTGCTCGGCGTAGCGTACGAAGGACTCAAGGCGGCCATCAGAAATCACGATGCCAGATTGGCCATCAAATATCATATTCATCCCACCGACGCTGCCGGGGCAATGTCTGCTGGTGGACACAGAAGGCGCGCGAGCTTGCTCCCCTCAAGTCACTCCCGCACTCCATCAGGACCCACCGGACTCGGCACGTCTGCCAACCCGTCTTCGCGCCGGGCCACCAGCTCACATTTGGATGACAATTCGACAGCGCTCAGGAAGCAGAGGAGACGATTCGTGTGAGTTTGTTTTTTGGGTGGCGAATGCGCAGAGAAGTTCGCTCGCTCGCCACTGGGCTGCTCCCTTCTTGTGGACGGGCGTTGAGCCTCAGTGGAGATGCAGAGACTCGTGCCCCGCGCAGCCTCTAGCTTGCGGGCGAGGCCTCCTCTCGTTCCGCTTGTTTGGGTCATATCAATCGTGAGCTGTTGCTGACTCGTATGCGCCATCCTCCTCAGCCCTCCTCTTTTGATATCGCGGGCTGCCCAAGTTCATCGCTCGTTGCTGTATGGTCTATCAGTAGCGCTCTCAATGTTCCTTATGCTCATCTTGTGAGTGGGCTTCGCTCGTCTGTGCGGTCTTGGTATCGATGACTGATGCGTTGACGCACGGAACCACGCGACAGCATGACTTACAACGCTGATCTGTAAGTGTCCGCAAAGCAGGAGTCAGACTATCGGCCAATTGGGCACTCTTGGGCTGACGAGCGCGCGTCCCATCCATTCTCCAGCATTGGTGCAGTGCTCGCTGGTGCAGTCATCGGGCATTACCTCTTCTCCCGCGATCTTGGTCATATCGTGGATGGGGTGGACAAGGGTCCAGCTTGTCATTGAAAATGCCGAATGCATACAGTCACAGTCAGAGTGCATAAGTGCATACATGCGCACACAAGCGTGGCCAAGAGACCTTGTGAGCCCGCAAGTGCGATCGTGGTGATTGTCTGCTACGCAGATCGTCGGCGACAATGAATCTGGTGGACTGGATGCCTTGCAAAATGGCTCGAGCTCGAGCGTGACTCGGGCATTTCGTGTGTACGGTACATGCAAGACCGCAAGATCATTCGGGTCTGCTGGCTTGGCAGTGTTGTATTTGTCCCCTTCCGAGCTTTCCTTCCTTCTTATTTTGCGTGGTTGCTGCTGAGCCGCCGATTAGACTGAAAGTTGATGGAGTGTGAGTACTCTCTTTCCTCTCTACGACCAGCTTGCCTATCTGATCTGCTACGCAGACGCGAATGATTCGAGCGCGACGTTTGGTTCAGTCTAGAGTCTCATTGAAACACTTACTTACAAGGTACGCAGAGTGAACACGAATTTCAACGACTTGGACTCGGCGTCTTGACTTGCATGACGCGAGCGCCTCCTGTGGACACGTGATTCGCGGTGTCGTGTGAGAGTGAGTCAGCAGCCTGCATATATGTGTGTGCTTGTGCGTTTCTCATTCAACAGCGTGCTCAAGGGCTTCGCAAAGGGGTTGGCATGGACCTTTGCGTTCACCTCCATTTGCTGTTTCAGAAGGATCAAGACTCACGATTGATGCACGGAGGTAGATGCGTGGTGCTCGCACCTCACCTCGCGCAGCACAGAGGCTCACAGACTGCGCGGTTGCGTCTGGGATTGAGGCGCGCCATCACAATCATCCCCCTGACTGGCTGCCTTCAGCCCTTGGTAGTCTCGATTGTGTCGATACCGATAGAGAAGGGAGTGAAATGAAGACGACCTTGAAACATCGTCCAAGATCAAGGTCAACATCAACATCGCACTTCAGCTCAAAGGTTCTTCAAGATGCCCTTTGAAGCAGGTCTTGGACTCTATCGCTGGCTCAAGCCCTCTCGGTCTGGCCAAGAAGAGGTTCCGCCAAGAGCTCAAAGTCTACGTCTACCTCACGATGTACTCTTGGAGGTGGCAGAGCATTCAGACTTTCAAACATTGCTAAATTTGGCCTTGACCAATCGCTCCGCTCTCGATATGTTGAGGCCTCAACTTTCCAGCTATCACTACACCACGGATGGCGACGTGCTTGCGGCCATACCCTTGCAGAATCGCAGACACGTAAAAGACCTCATCGTCTATCCGCGACTACATTGTGAATCCGACCACAGGCACGAATGGGACATGGGTGACCAAAATTCGCTCATTCGAGACTTGGCCTCGCAGCTTCGGCATCTCACCTGCTTGAGGAGCTTGCGCATACATAGTGGAGAGCTGCGCGAGTCATTCTGGAGTTTGTTGACAGCAGCGCCACAATTAGAGGTCATGAGGATCGTGGGAGGATCTCCTCTGTGGCCACTTCTCAGCCCACCGGTAGGTGCCGTGCTCTCGTACCGCTCTCTCGCTGTCCTTGTCGCTGCATCGACTGAGGTGTTGTCATGGCCGACTCTCAGAAAGAAGAGGCAAGTGTAACATTCGACTTGCGTTGCCTCGAAATCGACATTTTTCGCGCGCCTCGGGACGCTAGTAGTGAGTAGCCGGACCATCGAGCCACGGTGATAACAGATCATCGAAAATCTTTGTTTTGGCTGACCTAGTGCAGTCATTCAGTCTTTGCAACCCCTGGATTGATGGACGAAGTGCGCTCTAGTATCGCAAATCTTGTCTTGAAGGTGCGGCTAGAAGAGTTTCGGCTCAGCATCGCTCATAGCTTGCGCCGACCCGACGCTTTGCGTATCATTGCGCCTTTGGCCGGAGCCACTTGGCGTGAGTATTTAGCGTGAAGGGCCCTGTACGTATTAGGAGGTCGATCTGATGTGGCTCACGTATCGGTCAATCTTGGGCAGCTTTGAGGATCCTGCAAATATGTGAGCATCAAGGAAAAAGGCGCGATAATGTGCTCACGCATGTTTGCAGGCTGATCATTCGATCTGATCTCAACTCTGTCCAGCGGGGTGCGTATACAGCCCCAAGCCGCCGCGAAAGCTGCTCTGAATCTTACTCACCTGTCATTGAGCAGCCTCCCTGACTGCCGAGACGAGCTTCTTGAATTGATCCTCCCCAATCAGTACTTCAAGTTGCAGACGCTCGCGCTTCCTACCGAGCAGCGCGCGCAGCCGCTCACCGCGTCCTCGGCTCTTCTCGTAGAGGCAGCGACAGATGTTTCCAGCCCAGGAGGCCTGCCTCTCCCCCTTCTGGAGACATTTCACGGTGACGAATACGTCGTGGCGGCATTATTAAGCGTATCGCGTCCCCGCCTTCGCGTCGTGAAGGGCTTTCAGTGAGCAGAATAGTCATATAGATGCTGGTACCCGTGCCTTTGCAGCGCTAACTCCACATCGATAACAGTTTTGGATCCTCGCCCAGCATCGACGATCGACTTCTGAGCTCCTTCCACCTCAACCGTCAGATCACAGCGCTTGAAGGTAGGTTTTAGAGACCAGAACCAAACAAAGATTTGCGAACGCCCTGAGCTGAACAGGTGCGCGCTCTGGACTTCCCCACAGTCTGGCATAGACCGTCAGCTGAGACTGGTCGCCGGATGCTAACGAGGCTCTTCCAGGCTTTGCCGAACGTGCGGCACCTTCACCTGACGGGATACTGGCCTCATGTTCACTCGAGCATCACTCTGGAAGACTTTGCGAGTCTCAAGAAGCTGGAGCGTCTCGAAGGATTTCGCTTGGATCTGTCAGAAGTCGTCATGGCGCCCGCTATAGATGCGAATGGAGTCCGAAGACAGACCGTGGGAGCAGCAAAGAAGTGGTGCATCGAAAGACTCGCTTGCGCGTGCCCATGTCTCCGTCTTGTGCAGGAATCGCATGATTGGTACTTGATCACTCGAGTGGAGGGGTCCGATGCCGTGCGATCCATCGTCCTCACGTAAGTCACAGATCCTGTCGCGAAGCGCTGCAGACGATTCTTGCGCAGGCCGAAGTGATTTGCTCAGCTTCCTGCAGGACTTCTGATCGCAGTGATTGTCCATCCATGCACGCGTAGTCCAGCTAGTCGGATTCTGAGCTGAAGAGCCTCCTTGCCTGCGCCAAGGGAAACGGTCGAGGAGGTTTTGTAATGCTCTGCCGTGATCTTGTAAGTAACACGTGGCCTTGATCCCATACCTTCCTGCCAGCAGATTGCAGCGCCAATAACCGGAGAGGTACTCGCGCGTATAGTTAGATAACGCGCACACGCGTTTCGTGATTGCAGACCTTCGCAGCCATGCAGGAGGGGGACGCGGCGGCAAAGCAGCGACAGCAAACGGCAAATCCTGCGGCTTGTGAGACCGCAACACAGCCTTGCATAGCATCTCCACTCGATCGCGCCGAATGTGCTGCCCTCGCGGCTGAGGCAGGAGGTGAGACGGGCCTCTCGCTCTCTTGCACTGCCCGCGCGCATTCAGTGGAGTCAAGTTGCGAGGCAGATCTTCACTCGCGACTCTCGACCCTTGAAGTTCCGTAGCACGTCCATCTCCATCCACACCGCTCCTTGGAGTGTCCAGCATGAAGCTCAAAACGTCGCCCCAAGGCCTCGAAAGCAAGGCCGTCGATGGTCATGCACCGCATCCAGAGCTCATCTCCAATTGCCGCCGTGCACTTCGGCTTCCTTCAAACAAATTTCAGACCTACCCAGTAGACATTCAGTGAGTGTTGTACAAGCGCACATCCTTCTGCTGTCTGACTATGCGCCCTCGCTGGTGATGAATGATTCTCCTTGCAGCGCTTGCCTTGCCAAGCATCTGGATGCCGAGAGTTTGCTGGCCATCAGCCTAACCTGCCGCGCTCTGGCCACATTATACGCCTTGCCGCTATCTCGATGCCTCGCTCTGAACTCGGCAGACGAGTTGCTCAACTTTGTTCTGCATCATCAGCGTAAGAGAGATCAGCTGTGTGCTGGCGGACATTCTCTTGTTTATCGTCAAGATGCTGCCAAATGGACAAATCCAGCGTACGATCTGAAGCTCGATGATCCAGGTACGCTCTTGAACTCGCGGAGGATCATGGAGCTCCATCAGCTCGTACGCGAGAGAGAGCACGCCCCGGACTTCCCGGCCCACGAAATATCCTCTGGTCTACTGGGCGCAGTGCTGGATCTGTGCCCAAAATTGAAGTCCATCCGCACCTATCACACCACCTTGCCTCTCACTACTTCCTTAGCGCACGCGCTCCTGAGAACGACTCCTAACCTCACCACCCTGATCTACAGGTCTAAATGGTGCGACCCGAATGCTCTCGCTCTGCTATTGTCCCGTTCGCAAATCAAGACCCTTGATGTCTCAAGTGCTCACTTCTGCGCCTGCAAAGGCGACGAAGTCAGGCATCTCGACGCCGAAGCCTTGGGGTGCTGGATCGTCGACTCGAGGTCGTTGCAGCGCTTGGTCTTGACATCGAGCTACGTGACAGGCTGGAATCACGGAGCGCTGTGGCGCCACATGGCTACGCAGAACTACTTGAATGGGTCATCAGGGGATCGGAGAGCTCTTCCGCCCGTATTGAAGAGTCTGGAGCTTCGCAGAACGCAAGTCAACGCTAGCGCTTTCGGTGCCTTTCTGTCAAGTCCCAACGCTGGAGCTTTGACTCACCTCTTCCTGGGTGGAGTCGCGCGTTTGAGCTCAAAGTCGCTGGAGGAGAGTCTCACTCCACGGTCAGGCGAGGCGCCTTGCGCTTTCGTTGCATCATGCGAGCTACTGGACCTCGAGATCGACGCCCGACTTATGAGCTCAGAGCTACTCAAGCTTCTCGGAAAGCGGATCGGCTACTTGCGCGTCTTTGAGCCCAGTACCGTTCGATGCATGGATCTGACAAATGTGCTAGCCAATGGCTTTCTCCCTAAGCTACACCGACTGGTCATCTGTCCAAGAAGCCAACACGACGACGAATCCCTTCGAACAAAGGCGACAAGAGGCACTGCTCCCCATCAGCCCGTAAGCGCAAGGCACGCAGCGACGATTGCCCTGACCGCCATGTCTCTGGGCGTGAAGGACGCCACGGTAGGCGACGATTTCTGGTGGGGCATCGAAGAGCGAAAGAATAGCATGGCAGCCTATCGGAAAATGGAAGCGGAGGACCAGCGCAAGCAGGCAGCAGAGAGCGCCCGAAAGGCGCTGCAGCGAGCTCGAGATGCGGATGGCTGGGAAGCCGATGAGGAGGTCATGGTCTTTGGCAGCCTGCCTTGTGGAGTCGCACGGCAGCAGTGGGGCGAGGGCGGCCTCGATCATTGGAGAGACTAGCTACTGTGCTCCGTGGCCACTACTTTGCTTCGAGTTCCGGCCAGCCCAGCACATCAGTGGAGTTTTAAGCAACTGTTTTGTACATCAAACAGCAAGAGGTCGTTACATTAACACACTACTTTCTCTTGCTCAATATGAGCTGCAATGGATCTTTGAAGATGACGAAGCGATCTTTGATGTTGTTGCGAAATGTGTCGGGGTCGATGTGGGGTGCGAGGTTGACGTCGAAGCTCTGCACGAAGCGAGCAAGGAATAGGCGCATCTCCATGTAGGCCAATTGCTTGCCCTGCAACACGTGCACGATCGCAGTCGTATCTGCTCGTCAGTTGGGCTTTCAGGAATCTCCTCGAGCGCAAACGTCGACTCACGATGCACTGTGTTGGCCCGGCGCCAAAGGCAGTAAAGGCAGCTGCAGTGAAGACATCGCCCGTCTTGTCCTGCTCGATCCATCGCTCTGGGCGATAAAGTTCGGGATCGGTAAAGTTGCGTGGGTCACGCTGCATGGTGTAGGTGGGCGTGGAGATGACGACACCTGGCGGGATGATCGAACCATCTGGTAGCTTGAGTCCAGCTGGTGAAGTGACGCGTTGGAGGCCGCTAGGTACGCTTGGATAGAGCCGAAGCGATTCGTCGATGCACGCTGTTAGATAGGACAGGTGACGCTGAGTCTCGTACGAGCCTACGTCCGAAGCGCTAATGTCGCGTTGAGGAAACGCAGTATCAAGCTCCTTTCTGAGCGTTTGCCAGCAGCGACCCGAGTCCGTTGTGATCAGGTTGAAGATGACTAAGCCCATGGCGTTTCCAGCAGTGTCGGAGCCAGCCCTAGCGAATGCCACGAGAAGGCGTCAAATCTAAGCGCAGATCCAAGAAGAAATACGGGCAAACAAAACTTACCCAAGCAGCAAGAACGCCTCGGCAGTAAGCTCGTCCAAATCGATCCTGTCCCTTTGAGCCTGCCTTTCACCAAGAATGTAGCTGAAAATGTCCTGCTCCACCAATGCCGGTCCATCCCTGATGCGCTGCCGCACAGTCTCACGACACCAAGATTCAATGGCTGCAGTGGGACTCGGCAAGTATGCGAGAATATCGCGGATATATCCGGCAACATTTCCCATTGGCATGAGCACGGCCAAAGACTCTTGGATTAGCTCGATCTCTTTGGCTGTATTGGCGGTGTCGAGCATGTGGAAGGATCGACCGACACCGAGCTCGGTGACAATGTCCATGGTGAGCCAATCAAGCCAATAGCCAATGTCTTGCGTCGTCTTGCCGTCAGCTTTGCTCAGGAGCGCATCGATCGCTTTCTCCGCGTTGCGCTGGACATTCGTCTCGTAGCCTTTGAGCGCGCTGCTCCTGAAGGCTCCGTCCCACTGTCTACGCCTCTCATTGTGCGCTTTCATCGTCTTGAGAGTGTGCAAACTGCGCGCCTCCTTGCGAGTGATGGCAAGACACTCGTACCAAGGTCCTTTTTGCAAGCCGGTTGCGTAAATTGCGGATATCGCACCCACGATGTTGATGCTCAGCTCTCGAGGGCCAATGCGGACCACATCTCCGTACTGCCTGTGCAGCTGCTGCATGTACACAGGTCTGCTGCCCGCCAAATCGAAGGACATGCTGCTCCACTTGCTCAAAGCCAGAAATGTCGGACCTGGAAACTTGCTGAGTCGGTGAAAGTGAACCCTGTAGACACCGATGATACCAAAGACGGTGAACAGGTACGTGGCTGATATTCTGGATGTCAAAAATGCCGAAGCAAAGATGCCGAGGCCTTCTTGGACGTGATAGATCAGGAAGGAGGCAACATTGCCGCCAACGAAGGCCAGCGTGATATACAAGGCATTTGGCTCGGAAATCTGAGCTGACAACCACGTCGCAATGGCTAGGGTGATTGGCAGCAACGTGGTCACTTGCCAGCTTTGCGCTTCCAGACCAGCAAGCAGCGTCATCCTGTATTTTGGGTGTGCGCAAGAAGCAAAGAGAGATGGATGATGGGAGACTATATCTGTTTGATCCTGAGCACCTCATATAAGGGCTCGAGCGGGTCATGTGGATGACCCAAGACTGCTCTCGCTGCGTGCCATAGCTAGCTCGTGCTCGTCGCATGCTGCGTAGGGAAGCATGAAAGCACTGTATGCCTTTGTATTTCGCTGCATGACATGTCTCTAACCCCGCATAAGAGCCATCTCGTCAACACCAAAGAATGGACAGGATTGCGAGAGAGCCGAAGGAGACGGCTTCTGCTCGAGCAAGCGCACCCCGCGCGCAGGTTGGCAGATTGGCTCTCGCCTTTCGAAGAAAATCGGTCTCGGTCGTCGAGGTCGGGACTGACTAGATATGTACACATTAGTTAGAGAGTGGTCCTTCGTTGGGCACCTGATTAGTGATTGCAAAGCTTGATGGCAGTCCGAAACCTTATCTCTAGAGCACTGCTGATGTGCCACGATCCGCGAGCTGCAGCCGATCCGTCGACGCTAAAAATGCGCGAGATTTCTCCGACCCGCCGCCGCAGCGGCGGAGATCCTGCTGCTGCTGCGTGATCGCTAGCTGTTCATGCTGCTGGGCCAATCAGCGTCCGCCATGACTCGTCCTAAACGTACTAGACACGCGACAAGGTAGGGAGGAGCTAGCCATGAGTGACGTCGATCGATTGGAGCGTGGATGATGAGTGACAGGTGTGGCTGATGCTCTAGACCTCTCCACAATGCGTCGCTCAGATGCACGATTCATGCATTCGTGACGGTCGATGGGAAAATGATGTACAAGGTTGGACTAGGGGTGGTGCCTGCAGGAGAGCCGCCGCCTGCGAGCCTGCCATCGCGAGTCGCTGTGTATTACATCGTTGGTTCTTGTCCCTTCCACCTTTAATTTCTTTCCTCCTCTCCGAGTAGCCAGGCAGCGCCTCTGCTAATGGAAAAGCCTTGCGAAGCAGAAACGTTGCGCACAGAATTTTTCTCGTCATGCTCAACATCCCCATTTGTTTCTGGTCGCGGACCGGGTGCACCACCGCTGGGCAGACCAGAGGCGAACCCACCAAAGAAAGATCTGGCAGCCCTAGCAGCTCTCTCTGCAGGATCCATGTAGCCCGACAGGCTGATGGAAGTACCGCCCGGGCTCGAGCTTCTTGCGCTAGGCGCGTCGCCCAGACCGTCGAAAAGCTGAGCTGCTCGACTACCAAAGCCACCGCCACCTGATGCAGGTGGGCTAGCCAAAGAAGCGGCGCCTGGAACTGTGCGCCCACTAGCAGACGGCGCGGGCGCAACACCTCCTCGAAGCCCATCGACCACACCCGCAAGTCTTGCGCTGTTGAACAGCCCACTGAAACCACCACTGGCGGCCTGGGCAGCTTGCGCAGCGCTAAAGATTGATCCAGCAGCGTAGCTTGCTCTGGCTCGCACATCGCTAGCTGAAAGACTAGTCATTCGACTAGCAACAGCCGCAGCGCCGAATTGTCCCTGGTCTAGTCGTCTGGATGCGTGTGTACCGCCCGGCAATGTTGGATTTGCTTCCAAGAAGGCGAGATGCATCTCCTCTGCATTTCTCCACTGTCGCAGAAACCCAGACACCTTGTCTGGTGGACACAATTCGATCACGTGCGCCATCAGTTCGAGCTTAGCAGACGTATCCTCAAAATCGGGATGCCGAGCGACTTGAAGGCAGGCTTGCCACGCCTCTTCTTGAGCTTGTGGGAGGACTGCGGCGACGCTATTCGGATCCCTCAATGACATGTTTGATGAATCTGTGCTGCCTGCATGAGCCGCAGCGGCTGCATTGGCGCGCTTTCGCAGAGCCGCCACCTGCTCTACTAATCGAGTGCAAGCGGCACGAGCCGCTCGAAAGTCTTCGGCAGCTACAGCGGCATTGCTAATCCAAGCGAGCGTCTGAGCATCAATTAGAGCCTTTGGCTTGGGCGAAGTTTGTGTAAGGTCGGTAGCTCCGCCCCAAGAGCTTCGAGAAGGTGTGCCGACGGCATTAAGTTTCCTGGCGAGTTCAATGATGATGTCGACTGTCTGGTAAGCGCCGTCATTGAGCGATAGCAAGCGACCAATGAGTTCTTGTCTGTTTGGTGACATGCGAATCTGAAGCGGCGTCACCTGTTCGTGCCTAGCATGCTCAAGTTGCGCGTCGCGAGATCGGCTCAAATTGTACGAGCACAGCTTTGACGTCCCTTCGATGAAGGCTCTTTCAGCAGATATGCGTGGAGTGGGTGTAACAGCAGAAAGGACCTCGTAAGCAATCTTCATGTCGCCACGGTGAACATTCGTAGACTCCGTGTTGTCATAAAGTTCCCGCGATACGCGCAAGACCAGCTCTTCGGCTTCCTCGGACGATGGTGTCGCCGTTGCAGAGGTGTCTGCCAACAAGAGCTTGAAAGTGGAGACATCTTCAAGACTCGCGCGCCAAACACACAATCAGCCTTGCAGCTCGCTTGGAACACTGGAGCTAGTACGACTCACCGCCATTTCGAAGCACTTCCTCCAGAACCACCACAGTGGCCTGATGAGGTCCTAAAGCTTCTAGTAAACCCCCTTGCCCTGCCATCGCCTCTAACTCCAGCCTCAAGGGAGCCCAGATGCGTGACTCTTTCTTGACATCTCCAGCTCTCAGGAGTCTGACCACCAGTCTCCGCTGCGCTCCTGCGTCGCCAGAAGCGGCCGCCAGGCTCGCGATGCTTAGTCGGAGGCCTCGGGCAGCGAACGTCTTCGATGCTCGCACGTGGGATTTTACGAGAGGCAATAGCTGGAGAGAAGGGGTTGGCAGGGAGTTGTAGAGCTCTTCTGTCGCCATCGTTTCCGGAAGTCTCGGAGCCAGCAGGATCGCCAGACTTTCGCGTGTGCCTGCAGGAACGCCTGCGATCTTGCTGGAGAAATCATCCGGAACAGCCGCATCGACGATAGCTGAAAATGCTGCTTTTGCAGAACCGTCTGTCCTTTCGGAGCCGTAAATGGACACGAGCGCAAGACGGGCTCTCGTTTCCTCATCCAGGATCAGCGCACCATCTGCAGCGCTCAGGGCACGCAATACGGAAGCAATCAATCTAAGACAATCCATGCCGAAGCGTCCTGGCGTGTTCGATTGTGCTCTTAGCATGTCGAAGACCAGGTATTTGAGGGAGGTGGCAATGCCCGACGCGCCTGATGCCCGCATCAAGAACACGACAAGGTCGTGCATGGCCGCGTCGGCTTCTGAGGGGCTGGTAGCCGATGCCAAGTATGCCACAGCCGTCTGCCTACTTCGCTCAGGGTTCTCGAGAGCAGCGCGAAGGTCGGATAAACTGAATTCTCGAGCATCGATCGAACGCGCGCTACGACTATTGAGCGCTGCAAGCATCGCAAGCTCTTCCTTCAGCTGCAGCAACTGATCCGCAGCAGTGCCCACAGCCGCTAGCGCCACGTCCAGCAGATCTTGCGCTGAGCTCGCATTATTCGCTTGTGCTTCCAAGAGCAGCACTTGCTCCTCATACCATCCGACCAGCTCTGTCCGACTGAGCGAGCGAGGCCCGTCCGGGTGCAGCGACTCGTTCGTCGTGTCGACTACATCTTCAACCACAGTGGAAGCCTGATAAGAGTCGAGCCAGATGCTTTGCTCCTCCTCTCCCCTCACATGGGGCAAAAGACCTAGATTAAACAAGGATTTGATCGAGCCTTGGTGAAGCGCAGCGGCGAGGAAGAGGAGGGACAAGAGCTCATAGCGCTCGGTGATGATCGTCTGCAGCTCCACCCTCGGCAAGCCGCGCAGCAAGTCCAGCAGCCGTTGAGGCTTGTAATCCTGCACTAAATCGACTGCAACCTGTAGGAAGGAGCGCTCGAGGTAGTATGGCATGTTGAACGGTTCCGCGTCAGACGACGCGGTCTCCAATACCGTGTCTCGACTGACTTCGTTGTCATCCCAGGGATCGTCCTCGTCTTCGTTCTTCCCGCTGAGCACGTTGGAAACGGACGGGCCGTCTGCGACAGGAGCCAGCAGCAGGGCTCTTTGAGCGTGCACAGCAATGCTTCTCAACTCCAAAAGCCGCGCCTCGGTCTCCCGGCCCGGATCGGAAGCGTCCCCTTGTCCGTATCTTCTTGCAAACGCATCTGCAGCCGATGCAGTCCTCGTCAAGATCCTGTCAGAGAGTGCGACATGATCCTGGAGCGTGAGCGAGGAGGATTGAAGAGCTTCTGCAAAGGCGCTGCAAGCCCATACATCATCCGTCACGCCATCGAGAGCCTGCAAGGCGAGGGACAGGGACGGCGCATCCGAGCCTTCAGCTGGTTCTATGTGACCAGCATACCTCAGCCACGTGCGTTTGAGTGTGCGCTGAGAGGGCTGAATGGATGAGGAAGTTGGATGCCTAGACAGGTCGGTGCTCTTACGCTTCTTCGTGCTTGCACTTCGCGTGGTGGATGGCATCTCGGGGAGCCTTTGTTGGTGCGGCGCTTCATGAGCCGCTAGGCAGCGTAAGCACTAGATGATCGTATCTGGGAAGCCTCCCGATGTTCGTTCTGAGAGCGACAAGCTGATGGAACACAGCAGTGTGGGGATACGAGTGGCGTTGTAGCAATGGATCCAATCTCAGTCACAGTCGTGAGTCTCAATGCTAGGTCACTTCATGATTGGATCGAGGCTCGAGATTGAGGCCAGTGAATTGCGAGCCGTGGGCCCCCCGCCATGCAGCTCTTCTCCACGACGAGAGCGCGATCTTTCTCGTACGGGACTTCGCGTAGTGGCTTCCGCGTGCATGAGCGGACGGTGCACGCAGGCGTGTGCACAGTGCATGGGCACGGCGGCAAGCAGCGGGCGGCGAATCGCGGTGAACCCCGCGCTGATATCCTGCTGCATTCACGATTCACATTCACGATTTGCCACAGCGGCTGCTATCATCACCGTTCTCCAGGCCCGCACATTCTTTGATTACAAACCTCATCCACCTCGCTCTGTGACTGGCTTCATCAAGCTTCAACATTCCCATCAGCTCGTCACTTTTGCATCATGTCACTGGCAGCGCCTCACAAACGGGGCGCTGTGCGTGGCTTGGGCAGAGCAGCGCGAGATGGTGTGCCGCCCTGGCCCGGAGGCGCATCATCGGCACGCTCAGCTCGACGAGCCCCACCGCCATCATCGCGAGCATTCAGCTCCAGCAGCGGTGCTTCGTCATCTCAAGCTTCTCAACGCGGCGCAAGTCAATTTCTCAACAGGAGATTCTTGGGTATTCTCAGGCACGTCGTGCTGCCAGTGCTGAAGGGCGCCTACCTACCCTTCACTGGCGCCGCATCTTCCAGCGCTGCTGCACCCAACTGCGCACACCTCGCTCGCACACCGTTCAACCCCACTGTGCATGGTGCTGTGGGCGCCAGATTCTTTGGCGCTTCCGTACGCGCTCGCGTACGACCTTCGCCAACTGTCTCGGCGCTCAAACCCTCTTTGACGCACGGTCCAGGCCTTCAGACTGCGCGCAACTTCTCTAGCGGCGGTGGAGGCGGGCGCCTGTTTGGCGATGTCTTCACCAACGCCCCTCTGGCTTTCAGAGCCGCTGTCGATGAGTTGGACGATGACTTGTCTCTGTTCGGAAAAGCAGCCAAAGGTAAGGGCAAGGCGCCTACGATCAGCGCTGCCACCGCCCGCCGCGGTACTCGTCGTTCAAGCCCTGCAGCGCGCACCAAGCATGCGGCTCAAGCTTCGGCTCGGATCAGTGCCAAGTACGCTGCTGAACAGGGTGCAGCTATCCAGGACGTGTCAGCCTGCTGCTCATGTGACGGTGACAGCAGCAGCAGCAGCAGCATCTGCATGGAAAAGGACAACATCGAGCAGACGTACAATCAGTACTTTGCTGCCGCACCACGTGTCGCCGACAAGACCGATCAAGCCTCTTGCGGACCTTATCGTGACACGTGTACTATCTTGCGTCTACCTGCCGAGCCGGATCTCGACCTCTTTCAGCTCCTTCTCGGTCCGATGACGGATTTGGCGAGCGAAGAAGATTCGACGCATCCGCTCGATCGGCGCACTCTATCGGTCATGCAGAGCTACTCCGAAGCGGCAGCTCATCACCGCCTCCTAATCTCCAGCTTGCAGCGTCTGCTCAAGCGAGAAGGTTTGGACCCGGACTGGGTCATTTGCGCGGATGACGTTGCCGCGCACGGGCGAGCCTTCGATGTCAGCTTTGATGGATGGCGTGCGGAAGATGTGCGACGCATGCTTCTTGCCGAATTTGGTGTTCGAAGAGGTGGAGAATTGTCGCGCTTCTTGTTCGAGCAGAAGCAGACTGCTGATCAGGCACCAGAAAATGCGTCTCATGCGGGCTTGGACGATCTTCATTCCCCACCCCGAAGCACGGAAGATTTTGACACGGAATCGCAACTCAGTCCGAACAGTGAGGCTATCTCACTCTCACCATCACCTTCCGATGCGCACGATATAGCTCAAGACGTCGCTGAATTTGGAGTGGCATCTCAAGTCAGCTTTCAAGATCATGCCGATGCGCACTCCGATCGGTGGGACATGCCATCGCGGTCGATGACCACCGAGCACGCGATGGCTAATGGGCTAGGCCTGGACTTGGTGATGCCTACTCTGAGTTTCGAGCGGGAGAACGGTCCTGCATCGTTCGTCGGCTCAATCTCTCTTTCTCGCGCATCTGCCAGCTCAGATCTGTCCACCGGATGAATGCACTCGTCTCGCCTTCGACATTTAGCGGTACGCGTCTTGGACTACTCGCGCACTTGCGCATGGATACCCAAGCCGCATTGTTAAGCCTCTTGCGGTCGCGTGTGTTCGATTTGACACAGGCCTTTCCTCCGCCTCGGCTTTGTAGCCCATGCTTTCATTGGAGATGCATCCATGTATAGGCCTCGTCCCCTTACAGATCATGCCCTTCTGCTTCTCGAGAAGCGCTGCCACGCTCTTTGTTCCCTCCATGCTTTCTCTGGACGTCGGCTTTGTTCTCTCTCTCAATCTTACGACCCTTATTGCTATGATTCCATACATCGTTTTCATGTACTGCGATTTGAACGAGTTCGCCCGAGTCGCTTCCGGAGGTCGCGTGATCAGTCCAATTGGACCAATGTCTGCTCGTCAGGTCCAATCGAGTTCTAATCAGCCACAGCATCGCAAGCGCTGGCGACGGGCATAACGACGAGATGCATTCAATGTGGTGGATCGTGACGCTGCATGAGTAAAGATGGAGGAGATTCAACGCAGTAGATCGAGCACTCGCACACTTGAGAATGCAGCTTGAAGCGTTCAAGAAGCGCAGCGTACGAGATTGTGAAGACAAAGTCGTCTTCGATAGTCTAGTGCGAGGTAGGAGCAACATCGACCAGAACAACGGAACGGTGCAGCGGGCAACCGGACGAGGTATGAACCCGCTGATTTGGGTCGAGCGCGCCGGTCTGCCCGGAGGCCCGCGGTCGTGGGTAATGCAATGCATTTCATGTGCCAATGCGGAGCACTGTGAAAAGAAAAGAGCAAGGTCAAAGCTCCGCTTTCTTCTTTCTGTCGACCTTGCCTTTCTTGTTCTCTTCGGACCTGGCGCGTTCCAATTTTAACTTCAGATCAGCAAGCCTCTTCTCCACGTCATCGAGCAGACTAGCCAAAGTCTGCACGTCGTCCTTGGTCAAGCCCTGCTCGCTTTTCTGTGGGTCGCTAGGCAAAACTTTTTCTTGTCCGGTGTATCGCGGTTGCTGGACAGGAGAAAGATATTCTTGCAACACGCCCCTCACTGCGAGAGCAATGGCTTCGGCATTTGCCGTATCCGCCGCAAGCGAAGAAGAAGCCGAGTTGGACTTGCGGGATTTGACAAGCTTGTGTGGATCGGAAGGATCCCTCTTGCTCGCTCCACCACTCGCCGTCAATGCCCAGATATTCGTCAAGAGCAAGACCAAGACGAGTGCTCCTAAGATGAGCATCGATGGGCTAAGATCGCCCACCATTTCGATAGCGCCCCCTGTCAGATCTGCAATCGTGCCGCAGATGGTCGACAAGATGCCCATGATGCCCCCAGCTTCGCTCGTGTTCGAAGCCTCGCTCGCAAGAGCCTTGGAAGACTCTTTGGAGGTGGGATCAACAGACGTCTCGCCAGCTGGAGTGGAAGCTACAGCCTCTCGCATCTCGTCTGCAGCTTCATCATCGCCTTCTTCTCTGAATTCTGAAGCGTGTTCTTTCAGGTACTTTCTGACCGCAACGTCCAGATCCTTGTAGTACTGCTTCTGGCCGTCGATGGACGCTTTGTCGATGATGCCTAGGGGTCGCACAAGTGTCGAATGGCGCCGTCAGCTGAGCTCACCTCGCAGCGATGCTGATTGACTGCTCTCACCTTTAATCATGCTCCTTCCAGACCATTCAACATTACAAGTGACATAGACCTTCGTGGTATTGCCACCTGCCCACGTGAAGCAGGTTCGAGTCTTGACCGCAAAGCTTCCTCCTGAAGGGACGTCAGGTGTCCTCGTAGTCGTCATGGTGCTGACGTAATCGTCCATGTCGACGTGCAAATTTTCATCCGTGATCACGCACTTTGTCTGTTTAGGACCAAAACCACCAGCCAAAGGTTTGATGTAGGACATTGACCTGGACAGCATGTTGTTATTTGCGGTATCGGGTGACCAATCCGACATTTGCAAATCTGCATCAAGAAAGAGGTATTTTCAGCATTTCAAACTGCTTGCGCAGCATCGTTCTGCACTTCACGACTCACCCATGAGCTTCTGATCCACAGTCCAGAAATCCTTCATGAAACCGCTGGTAAACAGCAGGTTGTATAACTTCTCGGGCACCGCCGGATAGGTCTGGTCGAGCGCGACGGTGGGCATATGCTTCTTTTCCTTTTCGCATGGGCAGCTCGTAGCTCTGTGGGGAGCTTTCTTGCCGCCTGCAGCGCCCAAAGCCACAGCAGGTGAAAGTGGCGCGCCGTTCATTCCCGACATACCGTTTGCACCAGAATCGGCGCCGGCGCCATTCGCAGCACCTTCCTTGTTGCTCTTCAGCTTCATTCGCAGCTTCTTGCGCTTTGACACCCGCGGCGCGCCTTGCTCTGTGGGCTTTGCGGCTGCTCCATCTTTAGAAGCATCGCCTTCGTTCTCTACCGACTCGTCATCCGATTGGACCTCGATGGTAGCCTGACCAGGGACCGAGGGATGGGAAAGCTTCCAAATATTGACGATGAGATCATACGTCGCATCTCGCGATAAGAAAGAAGCAAACGTATACTGTGTGGAGATACAGAGGACCACGTCAACGGTTTCAATAGTGCTTTCATGTGGCCCCAGCTTACCTTCGCATGCAATGTGGCCATCTGTATAGCGTTGGGTATTACAAATGCAGTCATGCGTTTCTCGATCGATACGATCTCGTGAAAGCCAATGACGATATTCGTCACCCATCCAAAGATGTTTGCGTTGAAGCAGACGTGGTTCTCAGATATGTAGAAGCGTCCCTGAACGAGGATCTCGCGCACGAGAGCGCAACCGTAGTCTGTGTGCGATCGCAAGGCGAGCCCACGTGCGAAGCAGAAGGAGCGCAGTGAGCTTGGTATACATGCTGCCCCTAAGCCCCTCACACGGACCTGATCTGCCGATGCAACGTATGCTACTCACCTTCGATGAGATAGTCGTCCTCGGGCACGCTTGGGAAGAGAGCATGGAAATCCGCATTTCTCTTGGAGCTGGCTACCGCAAAGCCGGTGATCTGCTGTCCGACGCCTACATCGCCGGGCCAAGCATGATCGTCGTCCAAAAGAGACACGCCCTCTCCAGTGCCCGCGGGGCTCAAGCCTCCCACGGCGCCAATGCCGCCGGGAGTCAGATGTGGTTCTCCAACAGCGCTGACAAGTCGCGGAGTGGGTGGCGCTAGACTGGCCGCTCCTGGCATCAGGCCGTGTGGAGCGTGCAGGCCTCCTGCAGCTACAGCAGCACTGAAATGAGCAGCCGCTCCAAGTCCAGAGGCTTCGCTCGCATCGCTCGCAAAGCTAAAGCTACTGCTCGTGCTTCGCTCTCTCAAAGCTCTTCTCCTTCCCTCTATCGCTTCCTCCGACGGCGTCCCGAGCATTCCGGGATCAGGTCCGACCTCTGACATCCTGCCGGTCTGTGGATTTCGATACAGACCTCCTTCGCTCCCACCCACGTAATTGGCGTCGAGATTGCTGCCTGATCGAACCATTGCTTGTTGCCTGGCCATCGCACCTTGACTTCCACCTATGCCTGCCGCTCCGATCGCGCTTCCAGCCAGAGCACCAGCTATGCCTCCAGCGGGTCCTCTTTTAGCACTCTTGGTGCTCTCGGCCGTGTCCCTTCTTACAGGACCATCCGACAATTTTCGCAACCTCGCAAGAGGACTAGGAGGCAGCAATTGAGAAGTGCTTGCCGACTCGTGCATGGCTGAAGATCTCGAAGGAGAATGGCTGTCGGTGCCGCGAGGTGTAGGAGGTGCGAGGGAAGAAGCTCTACCGCGATCTGCCATGGAAGGCGCCATGGTTCCAGTCGTCGCATAGCGGCCGTGACCACTTTGGCTTTTGTGAGGAGACGCAGTGGCGGTCGAGGCTGCGCTGGGCGACACCGTCACCTCACCCATATCCGAAGCGTAGCTGTTGTTGCGACTGCCAAGCTTGGGTCTAGCTGGTGCTTTGCTCTGCTGCCCTGGACCGACTGCAGCAGAAGCAGTGAGAGCATCACCGTTCCCGGCAGTGCTGGAGTGGACTGCAGGATTGGGTTGAACAGATCCATCCGCATGGACAATCTCGCCCAATGTGAATGCAGCCAAGTTCAGACTGCCTTCACCGGGTCGATCGCCAGGCGATGCAGGAGGTATTTCGACTTGCCTCGCATTTAGCGTGTTGAGGTCGGCATTTGCAGTCGATGTGTCCACGTTGGCCAGCCTGGCAGGAGCTGTGGGTGGTTGAGCTGAGAATGGATTGACATTGTTGAAGCGAGTATTGCTCGGAGCTGCGCTGGCATTGCCTGCACCGCCTCTTCTTGATGGTTCCTCATCGCCGGACGATTCGCCGCCTTGGAGGATATCGTGGGCTGCAGCATCAGCCATGGCTCTCCGCATCAGCTCGTGCCTGTCTGGAACGCCGGTACTAGCACCCCTTCCGTGCCCGTCATCGCTGATGCGTGTGCTACCTCTTCTCCCAACCTTGCCGGTCCCAGAGAACACGGCCGCGGCAGATCCGGGTCGAGGCATGTTGCTAGAAGATGCGGCAGCGGCTGTCCTGATCGAGAGATCGGGACTTGTATGGGACGTGGGAAGCCTGCTGGGAAAGGGTTGCGTGCCTTTGAGCGTCAAATTGGAGTCGGCAGATGTGGTCGAGGGCGAGGGGATGAATGTGGACGATGAGGTTGGCGCTGGTGCTGTCGGCGTTGCAGACGCTCGACTATCGACACGCGAATCCCTTTGGAGAGGATGCGCGGCAGCACTGTGACTTGCAGTTGCAGACTGAAGCGATCCTCTTCTGCTCTGAGAAAGGTCAGGTGACTGCGACTGAGATTGCGATTGCGATGAGCCTTGACCCGTATCTTTGCGAGCGCCTCGGATGAGAGAGGATATTGCTAAAGGCATCTGCGTCGAGATCACAGCACAGCTGCGAGTGTCGAAGAAGCAAAAGGTCACCAGCGACGCGGGGAGAGGATCGAGATACGTTTTGATCTGCAAATGAATTGCAGCTCTGACTGTCGGAGTGCCAACGACGGTCGCAAGTCCGAGGGTGCGCTTTGTTGGCTCGGATCTGCTGGCTGGCTGGCTGGCTGGCTGGCTGGCTGCTTGGCTGCTTGGCTGGCTTGTTGGCTGTGGATGATGCTCGCGTGCATGCAGCTGCTATCTGTCTGCTGCTGATCTCGTTTGTGCCTTGCGCGCCGCTGCTGTTGGTGTGACTCAAGACTGACGCGCATTCGGGGTGGCTTTAACCTCAGTTGACCGTCTGCTGACGCTTGATCGCACCGAAGACCTGCTCGCGACGGACGCAAGACTCACGACTCACGACTCACGACTGCACAATCAGAACCACTTCGATCCGTGATCGCAAACGCGTGTTACGCCCACGCTGATGACAGTCGTCAGTACGAGACATGGTTTAATGAGTCTTTGAGGGGAATAGCGGACCCCATCGACAGACGCAAATGTGCGAGTGCATATATACCTCGTGCAAGCATTCTGCTGGCCGCCTTCACAACCAGAGAGCAAGACATCCGCACCGTAAAATTTGAATCACGAGTTGAATTTGAACGACACTTATCATCATCCGCTCTGGCAAGGCTCCCCATGCGCGGCGGACACAATTCGAATCAGTACTCGTGACTGCATGGTGAATGTATGTGACGGCGGGAGCGAGCAAATGCTTATTGTGATTATGATGTACACTTAACAATCAACAATCACGATTCAAAAATACCGAGGTGATGCATGGGGGCGAGAGCGCTTATCAAGTCACGTGTCAGTGGTTTGGCGTGGTCAACACCGCCTCACCACGCACGGCGTTGTGTGCATGTGTGAGTGCGAGCGAATCAAGAGGGGTGGGGTGGGGTGGGGGAGCGTGTATTCGTGATTTGAGGCGTTCCAGCAGCAGCTGTCGCGCCTTTTCTCAGATCAGCATCCAAGCTGCCTTTCCACAATTCACGATTAGCGGCATCAAGCGAACCTCACAGCAAACATCCATTGCAAGCGGTCGCACTGCGAGGTGAATGCGTTCAAGCTCGTGCGACAGCGCGTGCCAAGACTACATTCATCATCCGGGGCCTGTCAATAGCTCATCCATGATGGCAGATTCCAGCCATGCTCGCAGGACGTCATGGGATGACGCAGCCGCGACGGCTGGTGGTGCACCCCAAGCTTCGACATCCAGACCAGCGATCAAAGCTCGGCCGCTCACCTTTCATCAAGGTAGCGCCCGTCCAGCAGCTGCTAGAACCTCCACTTCTCTATCCTTGCCGCGCCGATCTTCCTATGCGGCCACAGCGGCGGTAGCAGCAGCAGCAGCAGCAGCGTCAGGATTGACATCCACCTCCAACTCAACTTCGGCCTCTGCGAACACCGCTCATTTGGCCTTCACCGCGGATCAAGATGAGGAGGGCGATAGGGATTGGAGATCCACGGCTATCGGCGATTCTCCCTTGGAAAGGAGCATACATCACGTGGGAATGGGTCGGTATCAGTACAGCTTGCTGTTCCTGACAGGGTGTGGCTGGGCAGCGGACAACATGTGGCTACAAGGCATAGCCATCATCATTCCTCGACTGCAAGACGAATTTCGATTGTCGGACTCCATCGTAGGCCTGGCATCGAGCTGCATGTTCTCGGGCATGATGATAGGTGCTACCGGCTGGGGCGCCTTTTCAGACTCGTACGGCAGAAGACCAGCATTCAACCTCACACTGCTCTTATCGACAGTCTTTGGACTCTTGGCTTCGGTCGCGCCTTCCTTCCCACTCCTCTGCAGCTCGCTCTTCGTCCTTGGTACAGGCGTGGGAGGAAGTATGCCCACCGATGGCACCCTCTTTCTAGAGAATCTGCCCCGGGACAAGAGGTACCTCCTCACAGCTCTCAGCGTCTTTTTTGCAGCTGGTAGCGTCGCCGCCGCTCTACTAGGTTTGCTCATCTTGCCTTCCGGTAGCTGTCCAGACCGCGACACGTGCTCGTCACATCAGAATCGAGGCTGGAGGTATCTACTAGCCAGCCTTGGCAGTCTCGTGAGTCTAGCCTCGACTAGAGATCGCAAGCCGCAGGCTAAACCGCTGACCCACCGATCTTTGCTCATGAACTTCGTAGACGGGTCTCTTTCTCATCTCCCGTTTACTCTTTTTCAAGCTTTGGGAGTCTCCAAAGTACCTAGTATCGACGGGCAGGCCCTACGAAGCCCGCGTGATCCTTCAGCGTATAGCAGCATACAATGGCAACCCCCTGAGTCTCAGCGTCAACGATCTCAGGAACAATGACGCGAGCGCAGAATTGCCAGAGCTGGATGAGGATGGTCCGTCTAGCTCGACACGCATCGGATACGAGCATGATCTGCAGGATGACAGCGACGGGACGGCGCAGACGCAAGATTGGGGGGTATCCAGCATTGTGGATGGAGCGAACGAGCTTTTTGGATTTTCGAAGCCTGCCGGCAAGGAGTATACGCCGCTATCCACGCAGGATGTCACGTCCGCAAGCGAATCTGGGCGGTCCCGTCGTGATGGATCGACAGATGGACCGCGCAACTCGCAGACGAACATACCACAAACTGTCCGCTCGAGCTTCAGAGCTTCTGATCGATCTGCTGCTACTGTCACGCAAAGTGCAGGAAGAGCGAGCGGGCTGCTGTACGCTATCTTACCAGCGCGAATGGCAAAACCGGCAGAACCGGTTCTGGCGAAGTACGACGAGCTGCTCAAGCCTTATTGGCTACGCACTACGGTACTGGTTTGGTCCATCTGGGCTCTGTTCAGTCTCGCTTTCACTTCATTCAACGTGAGTCTGCGCTTGTCCTGCAGTCTTCGCCAACAAGTGCGACTGACTGGTCGTGTCTCACCTTTCTTTTCCTACTGTCCTTGCACCGGGATCCGATTCTTGGGCCCAAATACCCAGGTGTACCTGTCAAAATTCTTAGAAGTAAGATTGGGCGCTTCGAATAGGATCCAGGTCATGGAGGACATCTTGCTCTATTCCGCAGCTAGCTTGCCGGGCGCCATCATGGGAGCCTATCTGATCGAGACTTCGCTAGGTCGGATACGGACTGTGAGTGAAGGGGCAAGACTCTTGGTGGTCTGCAAAGCTTTCACAGCGCGTACGAAGTTTTACACCGACGACTGACCATCCCCCTGGTCAACGTCGGTTTCCCGTTTGCGCGCCGCTAGATGGCGCTGTCGACCGCACTCGTGGCTATTGCTCTGCTCATCTTCATCCAAGCCACGGAACGCTTCACCATCGTCTTGAGCTCATGCAGCATTTCCTTGGCTGCTTCCGTATCATACGCAGCCATTTACGCTTACCCGCCAGAAGTGAGTAGCCATGACGTGGGGTCGACCCAAAGCGCAGTTCAAAGAAAGCAGCCAGAAAGCGCGCTCATTCATAACTTTGTGTATTACAGGCCTTCCCGACTCACCTCCGAGCCACAGCTTCCGGCACAGCATCCGCCCTGTCTCGTCTGAGCGGCATCTTGGCTCCAGTAGCCGCAGGAGCCCTCTTATCGCTCAGCGAGCAACTCCCTTTTCTCCTCGCCGTCGCGATCTTCATCATTTGCTCCATTCTCATGCTGTCGCTTCCGTATGAAACAAGGGACAGAGACGCGGACGCGGCTTACGGAGAGGATGGGCAAGGCAGTCAATGAACCATAGAGTGTGAACAGATGCTCATCGTCGTGCACACGCTCGATTGCGACTGAGCATTGAGTCCTTTGATCATGCATTGCTCGTAGGGGCAGTGTATTTGAACATGTGAGCTAGGCCATTGAATGCACACAATTCATGGACCTACTAAGCCCGAGGGCAAGCTGATGTAAAGCCTGCAGGGTGGGGCGAGACAGGGTGATGAAGCGCGAGTCGCCCAGCCAAGAGATTGCAGCCTGAAAAGCGCTCTTGCACTTCACCTGAAGGGCAAGCTCTTTTCTGAAGCTTCGAACAGTTTTCCTGCTGGACAATTGTGAATATCCAACTGGTAAGATGAAAGGGCCGCGAGATGAAAGGACAGAAAGGGAGGAGGAAAAGTCGTGCCATAGAGGCGCTGTTTTAGATGCGCCGTTGCGCCCAAAGCAACGATCGAAAGCATTATGAGCAGCTCACGTTTTCGTCGGTCGTGATGTAGTTCTGAAGCGAAGGTCCTGGAAAGTGAGGAGCATGAATGAGCCAAGTGAGGCAACACCGATGTATGCGGCGCACGCGATAGGAGCGATGTGCAACTCGTCACCGCATGATGGATGTGAATCATGGCGATTGGAGTTGTTTTGAGGTACCGGGAAGATCGTTGCCCCGATCAGGTCGCTTTCTAGAAGTGAATTGGTTTGTGTGGGGCTCTGTGAGAGGTTTGAAGGAGACATCTGTGTCCTGGCATACGAGCTACTGCGAAACATGGCGTTTGCATCTGAGTAGTGCATCCAAAATCGCCAGGACGCTATCCTTGCATCGTTGCTTGCATGATCCCTTCCGAGACACTGCCAAAGCGAAGTTCCCGAGGTCAGCGTGGGACAGCAAGTTCCATGAAAGAAACGCAAGCTCGTCGGACCACTCACTACTGCGCTACGACTTTTCGCCCGGCGAAGAAGCGACCGTTAAGAGCATTGATGGCTTTTCCAGCACCGTCGACTGCTGCAAAACGGACCCAAATCTCTCCAGCACTCTCTTTGTCTACGTAGCAAGCTTCGACTACACCGTACTTTTCCTCGCACTCGCCCTTGACTTCTTCAGTCAATTCCTTGTCCCAGTCCCGCTCGGTCTCCCTTGAGAAGGGGTTTGGTATGCAGGACGTCAGCTGGATGACTTGGTCGAAATATGTGCACATACTCACTCTTCAGGATTGAACATATTTTTCAGCAGGATGGCACGACTCAACGCGACCGGCATATTAGCGGGTCTGGTTCTACGAGGGCGTACGAGTGTTTTCGTGGTAAGCCCTCTGATCCCATGCGATCATTTGGCGCGGCTGATGGACTCACTGTTCGGTCGGGACCGTTGGTGCGGGCTGCTCCGTGCGGGCGAGCTTTTCCATCAGAGCGGCACGGCTGGCAGAAGTCAGGCCTCCGCCGCCTCCCTCGTCGAATGACGACGTCGTGGTCGCAGTCTGCCCAGAAATATCGATGCCTTGTTGTGCAGCAGCAGCGACTGCTGCTTGTTGCTGGTGCATGGTTCTGCCCTCCTGACCTCGAGCATTGACGTGTCCCACCCGAATGTTTCGACCGGCAAGCTCAAAGTTGTCCATATGCTGTATAGCTCGCTCAGCGTCCTCGACATTTGTAAATCTGCCGCAGGATGGAGAGACAACGGTAAGCTATCAGAGCTCTCGCTTGCTGGCCACTCCTCTCGCACGAAGCGGTACCCACTGGATGAAAGCGAATCCTTTACTCTTTCCAGTCGGCTCGCGGTGAAGATCCACGCTTTCGATCGTGCCAAAAGGATCAAAGACGCTCTTGAGGTCAGTGTCTGTAATTTCGAAATGCAAACTGCCAACGTAAAGCCGAGATGCTTGGTTGGCGTGCGACTTAGCGCGGGCAGCGACGCTCGCCACATTTTGACCGAGGTGTATCGGTGCGCCAGCAGAGAAATGCGGAGGCAGAGGAATACCGGCGATCAAAGATTCAGTAATGGCTGGGGGCGACCCACTTGTCGCGGTACCACCAAGATGCGGCGGTAGGTTCGGCCGAATAGGTGCCTGAGCGGTCGAGGCACCTTCGCCCCGATTGCGCGCCGCCTCCGTTTGTTGGACAAGTATCGGGATACCGAAAAGTTTGGTACCTGACAAAGCCATCGCTTTCTCGACCAGGCTCTCTTCCTTTAATTCAACATAGCCGATGCTGTAAATTACGAGGTCTGCAATGAGCTAAGCAGGACAGTGCACGACGTCAAAATTGCACTCACCCCTTACTGCGCCCAGTGATACGATCTGTGACAATGCGCACGTCTCGCACACTGTTGTCCCCGAGAGCCTCCTCAAAAAATTCGCCCAGGTCACGCTGTCCAAGACGAGCCGCAAGCTGGGAGCAAAAGACAGAGCGTAACTCGTAATCCTCGGGCTCGGGTGTGCGCACTTTCTCTTCTGGAGGAAGCGGTCCACGAGAGCCATGGCGGGGACTGTGGTAAGGACCATCTTCACGTCGACGTGATGCGTATGGGTCGCGTTCGTATCCACCACCACCACGAGGGCCGTACCTGTCGCGCCCATACGGTTCGCGATCGTATCCACCGCGTGACGGGTATCTGTCTCGAGCATAAGGATCCCTATCGTAACCACCTCGTGAGCGCTCATGGTGGGTTCTAGCAGGTCCACGATCATAGTAGCGGTCGCGCTCGTACCTGTCGGAAATGCGACTGCTTCCACGTTCGCTACGACGATCGTCGAGACGGGCCTCTAGGCGACGCTCTAAGCTAGCTCGCCCACCTTCGTAGTCTTCACGGTCACGCTTTCGCCTGCGATGTGCGCTATCTCGCTCGTCATAGTCACCACGTCGAGAATGCGTTGGACTGCGAGAGCGTGACCTTCGTGGAGAGGGAGAGCGAGTGACAGACCGACCACGAGAGTCGCGAGGACCATTCTTGGAACCTGCTGCTCGTCTGCGCAGGGGTGAGACAAGATCGAGGGTCAGCGGGTCAGATTGGCGTATGAGCTTCGCTGTAGTATTAGCATCTGAGTCTGTCACTTACCTTCGCAATTTTTCTGCTAGCTCTGCTTCTCTCTCAGCATTGGACACGGCGCGCGCACGTGGAGCCGTGGAGGAGGACCTAGACGATGGGGTACGGGAGGGAGAACGCGATGCCGGACTGCGAGAGCGGTCCTCATCATTACGATGACGACCATTGCGATGTGCCGGATTACGCGAGCGTCGAGCGCCTGGAGAAGCGCTGCGGGAGTGACCCCGACGTCGGTCAGTATCTCCACCACGGCTTCGCCTTGCCGAGCTGCTGTGTGCGCCACTGAGAGCGTGGCTGCTGTCCCGTCGATGGCTGCCCGCTAATTCGGGCGACATGCTACGCGTGGGCGAACGAGCCGCACGATTGGGGCTCGGAGAGCGGCTCACCTCACTGCTCGTGTAGTCTCGCGTGCTCAGCACCCTGCCTCGACCACGAACATTAGGCGCTCTCGGTGCGGATTGAGCAGGCGCGGCATCCAGCCCCTCTTCGCGATCTGCATACATGGTGTCTTTGAGGATGGACACAAAACTTCGGTGGTGTGGTGGATGTGGTGGGATACAGATTTGAAGGCCTGAAGCACGAACGTTTGATGCGCGTGCGCCGAAGCTTGTGTTGCATGCGTGACGGGGCAAAACGAGAATTTGAATGATGTGAACAGTCACAAGTAACGATTGGTTAGTAGTCAAGAACAAGTGAGTCGTGAGTGCCGGGTTCCATGAGGCGCGGCCCATCGGCATGCAAGTAAGCGCAGGGCGACTCGTCGACCAACCACGTGGCTGCGCTGAGCGCCGACCCTCGCATCGCGCAATTCATGATTTCTTGATATTCGCGCCTGCAGCCAGCCAGATGGTCGTGAGTCAGTCACGAGTCAGAGTCTGGGTGTGATTCTGATTGAAGCTGACGGGTCTGGCGCCTCCACCTCCATCCTCATTCCTTGGCATACCATATCACCATAGCGAAAGAGCGGAGCTGATCCCGACGCAACAATCACGAATCTCACATATCCTCCGCAAGAAGCACGTGTCGGTAGCCACTGGGTCACACGCGAAGCAAAAGCGAGACCAAAATGTCTGCGACGGCGTCAGACAAGGGCGCGAGCGGCTCCACACCACTCAGCGAGCAGCGTGAGTACGCTCGCCTGAACATCTTCGATGGCATACATGCGTGCAGCTTCGCAAGCTCGATCTTGCACCAATTTCCCACATACTGACGCCATCTCTGCCCGCAGAGGTAGCACAGCGCTTTCAATCCTTGAGAAGTGAAATGACCAGCATTGCGACCAAGATTTCAGAGATTGAAGGCGAGACGGAAGAGCATCGGTGAGTTGCTCCTTTTGCAAATGGCAGCGAGAAGCACTCGGTGATTCACCTCTGCCACGCCTTTGACTTTTGCGCACAATGCGCCTCCAGGGCAGTCATAGAGACGTTGAAGCAGACAGCAGCAACGGCGCCCGACAGAAAGTGCTTTAGGTTGATTGGAGGAGTGTTAGTGGAGCGTAAAGTTGCAGAGGTGGTGCCTACTCTAGAGGCAAACGTAGCAAGTGTGAGCGGTGATCGATCACCAGCGCCTCGATCAGTCCACAACACTCAAACTTCGCATTCTCTCCGCAGCTTCGACAAGTGCTAGAGGCCCTGTTGCAGCAGTACAAAGGAAAAGAGGAAGAGTCACAAGCATTGCAGAAAAAGTATCAAACAGCTCAATGAATGGAGTGTAGCGTGTACACAGGCGTGTCGTGCCCAAGTCCAACTTTCACTGTTGGCCGCTGCTTCCAAGCTGAAGCTTGGCGAACCGTGCCTCCGCGGCCCTAGCTCGTTTTTCTCTCTCTATCTTAGCTCGCACCTCCGGCGTCAACCCGGCGGTATCATCCAATTTTGCTTGCAGAGCGGCAGGTGGAGCTCCTCCTAGTCGGTTTCGACTCTTGTGGCTCTCCTTTTCCCTCACCTCGGCGGGCGCAGACACTGGTATCTGGTGGGCGGCAGCCGCTTCTTCGGTTGCTTGCGCTTCTCGAGTCTTCGCTTTTTCTCGGAGCAATGCGCGGCGATCGTTTTGCTTCGCCTTTGTCTCTTCCGTCAAAGCAGATGGCACCCTCGCTCCTCCCTTCTCCATCGACCCCCAATCGTACCAGTCAGGATGCGTTGCCATCAGGCTCCGGAAAACATCTCGCGCATCTCTATTGGTGCAAAGATCGACAGCTGTTCGGTGAGGCAAGTCGTCGGACTGCTTGCCCGTGGGCTTCCCCTGGGCATCGAGAATTGGAACTGGCTGAACTGCAATAGTCGGGTCCGCGCGGCGTTCCATCAGCAAGTACTTCAACAATTCCTCGCTGCCTCCTTCGGCGGCGACATGCAAGAGCGTGGATGGAACGAGCTGGCGAGCAGTGGGTGTCGGATTGCTCAACACTTCCAGCTCTCCCGTTGTCGAGTCGTAACGCACGAGCCCCTTCTCGTTCGCGTCACTAAATCGCCACCACGAGGGGAAAGGAGCATCGACGCGGGTTCTGAGCAAGTCCGCAGCTTCGTCCGCATCATCAGGATCCGGTGGAGCGTCCGTGTCCCACCCGCCAGGACGCAAAATGTCGCCTTCGTACTTGTAGAGATGAGACTTGACGGCAGAGAGCCGACCCTTTCTTGCCATCTCTACCAGCCTCTCGAAGCGGTCACGCCTGAGCGCTTCCTTCGGCTCGAGTTCGGGACCCGAGCGTTCGGCTCTCGCCCTTTCTGCTCTCTCCTCCCGTGCTTTGTCTCGCTGAGCGCGGGCCTTTTCCTTCGCTTTTCGCTCTTCGCGGGCTCTGGCTCCGCTCTGTACCTGTGCGAGGTACGCGGCGTCTTTCGCCGCCAAGTCCTCTTCGCTGTCGTGCCTGACTCGGACTCGAATGAGCTCGGCGAAGCATCTGAGCGCTTCGCCTATCGTCGGACGCCGTGTAGGAAATGGCAAAGAAGCAAGCGTGTCTTGAGAGCGATGAGTCTCCAATGGAGATTTGCCCGACGCCCAGCTCCACAGAAGCCCTCGCGCATTGCGTTTCCCGGCTCTGACCCAAACACGCTCGCTCTTCTCGATGCCTGACCGCCAGGCAGGAGATCCGAGCAGTTCTCTCACCTCCTCTGCCAGCGCAATTTCGCCGTAACGACGCAGTTGGGCACCGGCTGACTTCGCAAAGCGCCCTGTTGCATCCTGAGCTGCTTGACCGCCACCCTGCTTCTTCCGTGTGGTATACCTATGGAAAGCTTTATGAGCGAGAACGATGAATCGCTGCTCGACGAGACCGGTCCGCTTTGCCGGTGCGGTCGGAGCTGGGGCTAGAGCCACTATGACAGCGCTGAAATGTCCACCCCCGAGTAGAATGATGGTCCAAGTTCGCAGCGTTGGAACCGGCGTCTGCGCAGCGACACTTTGGGCACGCTGAGGGTCATCGACACCATCCAATGCTCCCTCTGTTCCTTGATGGTCTGCAGATGAGGATGTCTCGGAAATGTCGCTGTCGTACTCTTCGTCTCCATCAAGCTGTCCTAGAACTGTACGCCCGTCCAGGAAGGTAGCTCCCAGCATGTGGGCGGCTTCGTCGGCTCCCGGACCTCCCTTGAGCTTGCGCAATGGCCCACGGGCCAGTTGCAGTGCTGCGATCTGAGGAGCCGTGATGGGCTCTGCTTGAAAGCTCTGAAGAGCATACCGAGCACTGTCTGGTGCGGCAATGGGCACCAAGGCTCGATAGACGCCGAGCTGCGTTTGAACCAGCTCCGGATTTCGAGTATCCTCCGTACCTGCCGTCTCCCTTTTAGAGCTACTCCCAGGCGTGACGAACCACCAGAAGGGATCTCTGGCAGCCACGCCTTGCACCCTTGTGTGCCTGGAAGTGTCGTTCGCTTCGTCTTCCGAATGATCATCGCTACTACCTTCGCTGTCCGAGGATGAGCCTTCGTCGGACTCGTGGAGGAGCTGTGTGTCCACTGCTCTGAGCTGAAGCCGATGGAGCAGCGGTGCAGGAAGAGAGAGAGCGTACAAAGGCTTTTGAAGCAGGACGTGCCTCTTTGGCTTCTTGGACGATGGCGCCTCGCCCGCGGCCAGATGGGCACTCGTTGACATCTTCAAGCAGCAGTGGTAACAGCCTGCAAGAGGTAGCGGTGAGCGCGCAAATGGGATGGGAATTGAGAGTCAGCCAGATCGTGCCGCAGTCATCGTCACTTGCGATGAGCTGCGCAAAAGCAATCACGAATGGTGGATCAAGAGGAGGATATCCACATGGCACACCGTAAACCTCACATTTGTGATCGCTTGCATCGTATGTGCGCGTCAGCATCTTCTCCTCCTCCACCACCCTAGCATGCGCAGCACGTACCGTAGGCAAAGCCTTGCAGCAGGTGCATTTATCGCACGAGACGCCTGCTCGCCTCCGCGGTATGAAGTAGTGTGCATCCAGCAGTGTGAATGCTATGCCCACACTCCGCACTGCAAGCTCGACCAGATAGCCCCTCTGAATGGCACCATATCACACTATGCAAGGCTCTCGGTGATTCCTTGCGGAAGCTGACATCTGCTCTTCCTAATTCGCGCTTTTTGTGGATTGATCTTCACTTCCAGAGAGCCGCTCGAGACACCTGTGCAACCAAGTCGCAGATCTTGCGTTGCAGCTCGCTTCCAACTCCTCAACGCAGCTTGTAGTCACTGGGACAGTGCGTGATCTTGTCCCGACGGGATAAGCATACCTGACTGCACCTGTCAGCCTGGCATAGCGTAAAGGCAACGCCATCGTCTGGCGCCAATGTCAGGCAATCCTGTACAGCGTTCGGGTGTGCCTAGTGCCGCATCGACTTCTCTCGCTCGGCACGCATCCAACGCATCGTTGCAGAGCTCCAAAAGTCAGTCGGGGCACAGCGCATCCGCATCCACTCGTGGACCACCATTAGCCATCTCGAGTGCATCGGTCAGCAGCTCCCCTCAGGCATCCCCTCGACTCTCTTCCAACAACGCGTTGCCAGTCTCGGGGAATGGTCGAAGTTTGGCTGTAGGAGGGCGAAGCAACGGAGGCGGGAAAGGCAAAGCATCTGTCTCAACCCCGACCGCACTCGTGGGCAATGTCTTTATCGGCGAGGAGAGCGTGTGGAAAAGCAGCGCGGCAAAGAGGGCGGAGAAAGCGTGGGCTGTACAGAGCGAAAAGACGCTGCAGTCGGACTCCAAGTTCAAGAAGTACGCTTCAAGCGTTGAGAAAGCTCTGGCTTCCTTCGAAAGCGTGGCGGAGTGGGCAGATTTCATTGCCTTTCTTGCAAGGTTGCTGAAGGTGAGCGTGGACGGGGATCGAGAGTAAGCATGTCTTTTGCTGAGTTGTATGCGATCCGACGAACTTTGTATGCAGACGCTGCAAGCATTTCCTCAGTTTGCCGCCATTCCACGCAAGCTTATCGTAGCAAAGCGGCTCTCCCAATGCTTGAATCCAGCTTTGCCCTCTGGCGTCCATGCGCGAGCTCTGGAGGTGTACGCACACATCTTCGAGATAATTGGCAGCGAAGGTATTCGCAGGGACCTCGCTGTCTGGTCTCCTGGTCTCCTGCCCTTCTTTCAATCAGCCTCCACATCCATCAAGCCGACCGTCTTGGGTCTCTTTGAGAAGTTCTACCTGCCTCTGGAAGAGGATCTTCGACCTGTCACGCGGGCACTCCTACTCGCCCTTTTGCCAGGTTTGGAAGAAGACACCGGAGAGTTCTTCGACAGAGTACTGCGCCTTCTCGATCGTCTTCAGCTTCTGGTGAAGCAACCATTCTTCCTGCAAAATGTTTGGCTCATTTTGGTCTCATCGCCCTCCATTAGGCTTGCAGCTTTGAACTACTTGTCTCGACGCCTTCCTCCGCTGAACGGGCCCTTTACCCAGAAGGATGTGGTAGGAGGCATTGTCAAATCCTCGGGCGACTTAGCTCAAGTCGGGCACGCCCACGCATCGGATGTAGTAGGGCGCGACATAGGTCTATTAGCCCGAGCATTCGCTGCTGCCTTGGAGGACCCAGTCTTATTGGTAAGGCGAGCGGCACTAGATCTGCTGGTCACGCACCTGCGGCTAGACTCGCACACATTCAAGAAGCTGATACCAAGCGAGGAACAGGTCGGAATCGTCCGCGCTAGCATGACTGTCGTCCTGCGGCGAGACCTCAGCCTCAATAGACGACTTTATGCGTGGCTACTGGGCCCTAGCGAAGATCCTCAAGCTCAGCGCGCTTACCTTCGAGAGCATGCCCTAGCTCTTGTGCGCCAAGCTCTGATTGAAGACGTCTACGCCGAGCCACTCGTGGAGAGCATGGTAAATGAAACAGCCCTGAGTCAAGAGGATGTTGATGCCGACGTCGAAGCCAGGCAGCGGCCTCTGCGAATATTTGTCAGTCTACTGGACAAGTGGGAGATTGGACAAGCTCTGACCAACGACTTGGTCATCGACTTGCTGCGAGCTTTACAATCTCAGCTTGCCGAAGATCTGAATCCGCGACCTGTCGGCGTGGGCGAAATTTTGACCACAGCAAAGATGCTGTTCGAAGTAATTGACCCATTCGCAACATATCGCCAATTCTTCTCGGCCCTGCACGCTGAAATGAGTTTTCGGGACGAGTCATCACAAGGATCCGGAAGCTCGACTTCGGCAATCGTACTGCTTCAATTCGTCTTGCAGACGTTTCGCGTTCACGACGAGGAGACTCGGCAAATCCATATTCCAGTGCTGGTCTCCGCTCTCGCCGAGCTCGTCGAGGAAGCTGCGCAACCTGATACAGAGCTGAGCGAGGGCCAGCAACGCCTTCTGGATCAGGCTCTTGACCTCACATCGGAGCTACTGAACTTGATTCCAGCGAGAGTCTTCGTTTGTGAAGCGGTCCAATCAGTCGAAACAACTGAATCTCAACGAGCTTTCTCCAAAGGACCGCGCGGATTCGTTGATAAGGCAAAAACCTTTTACGGAGAACGCGGTGTGGATGTCAGTGCGGACGAAGCTGCTGCCAAATACATCGGTTTCCACGATCCTGAGGTGCTCAAGGACTTGCTGGACACATGCGCACGCATTCCTATGCGTCTTGCCAGGTACCCTAAGCTGTTCATTAATGGCCTTCGACTCACGACGGAGCTTCTTGCGGTCTATGACGCTGCAGAGGAACCGTCAGTGCGCGTTTTAGCACCCTCAGCGCGCTCAGAGTCCAATTCAGGGCTCAAGGTTGGAGCTCACACGGCGGAAGCTGGGGTGGCCTGGGACGCTGCCGGGTGGGGACGGGCGCTGATGGTTCGTCTGGAGGACGCGGAAGCCTTTGAAGAGGTCGATCATATCATCGATGGTCTGATCGCCGCAGCCACGTGTAGGCCATTGGTCACAAAGCTCAGCATCGGTGATCGTAGCCAGGTCGTGCTAATCCTCAATAAGGTGAGACGTGAAGCTACTCAAGACGTAGTTCATCGCCATGCTCTCACATATTAACCTCGTCTATGATCTGCTCGACCTTTAGCTTCAATCCTTTCTGCAACCTGGTTTTGCGCCATATCACGTTCGCGCCATCGAGTTGCTATGGACTGTCCAACAATTGGCCCGTGGTCATCACGTCGAGGCCATATTCAGCGAGAATATCTGCACTCGCAAGGCAAGCATTCGGCAGCGCTGGTTGAACGCGTTTGGTGTCCTTTGGGCCATGACAGGTGTGTGACTTATCTGCGAATGTTGCTGTGTCTCTACTGACTTCGTCTTGTCCCTCAGACGAACGCGACGCCAGTCTCACAGCCCTGCGGATACCTTTACTTCGAGTCGCTGAAGGTCTTCACTCAGACTGCGCATCGACTCGCCACTCCAGTGAAGCGTGGCTGCGCACGTATATGAAGAGCTACTTGCCGCTTCTAGAGCCCCTCGTCGCGGCCATGCACCATCCAAGCAGCAGAGCAGCAGATCAGCAATGTGTCGCCAGCAGCGAAGCCGACGATACATCTGGTCTCCTGGCTTACCCACAACCTTTCGATTATGATGATCACGGGCATGCTCTGCAGCTTTTACTTTGCCTATTGCAATTTGGCGGCAGTGTGTTCCTCGCGTCCGCAAGGGGGGCACGCTTGAAAGTGGGACACCTTCGCTCGGCAGCGATGGACTACGATTTGCTGGCCAAGCACGAAGAAGAAGACACCTACTTGGACGCAATCATTGAGGGCACTTTGCTTGACATCAGGTCCCGGCCAGCGAGCGACGTAGAGGCAGCATATGCCTTTCAACACTTGCAATCTGTTCTGCGCTCGTTAGACATCTTGCAAATCATTGCGGGCGAGGCTCAGTTGAGCGTCGCAGCACTCGAGGCGGCTGAAACACGCATTATGCAGCGACTTATCTCAAGCAGCACGACAGAGCAGACACAACTGCAAGCCAAGCTTCTGCGAGTACTACATACGGTCAGCAAGGCGCGAGGAAACTCGAGTTCCAAAGCCCATAGAGGTGGCACTGGCTCAATCATTAACAGCAGGCAATCTGCGAGAAGCGATTCGGCAGTGGCAGCGAAGGGCATTCAACCACACCCGCTTCTGCTAAGAGCACTGCGCGAGGGACTGTCCATCGGGCCTAACGCCGATGCGCTTTCGGCCTGGGCAGAATTTGCGTGCAATATCACCCAACTGTACCCATCAGCCGAGCAAAAGCTCCTTCTTCCGTTGGCAGAACACATTTGCGCCTTGCTGCGAAGTGCTATTGACAAGATCGACCTTGCGTTTGGCCTTGCCGATGCGCTACCACCACCAAATGCCATTTGCGGCGTCACGGACGGCACAATTGCGTCACTGTTGAACGTAGCCGAGCGAGCTCTTGCCTCTTCACTGGCAAAAGATCGAGGCCCATTCGCCGGCGAGGCGCCTGGTACAGTCGGAGACGGTGATGCAAACTCGACTCCGGCGCCCTCTGTCAACGAGAAGTCCGACGCCGCCCCTAGCGCAGGCCTGTTTGGTTATGTATCAAATGTCTTCTCAAGCGAGTCTAGTGCAGCGACCAATTCTGCCAGCCCAGCTGTCGCTGCGAATGCTCTGTCACGCACGCTGCATCACGTGGTGCGGACTCTGCACAAGCTCTACAGTACTGTTCGAGCGGATAGAAAGCTGCCACTGGACTCGCGCGGGCTCGCTTTTGAGGCAATGGCTCCAAGAGTCAGAGCGCGATGCAGGCGCACCTTAGAGCGCCTTTACAGGACCCATTCTGGTGAAGTGGTGGAAAGCTTGATCGACTGTTGGGACAGCGACGCCCGGCAAGAGGGCGCAGAGGCATCCGCAGATGCTCAGTGCACCTTTGCGATCTTAACTTTTCTTGCTCCAAGCGCTCAGATGGTAGTTACTTTCCTGTGCGATGTTCTCAACACGCGCACCTCTACCAGCATTTCGTTGAGTGAAAAGCGTGCACGTGGTGGCACAGAATTCATCGTGTGAGTGCCCACAAGAAAGAAGACCGGGCACTTCGCTGACATTCTCGACCTCACACGCTGCTGGCGCAGGAGCGAGACTACCTTGTTCTGCTTCCTGGAGGTGTACTTGAGTCGTCTCGATCAGACCTCCGCCACTCAAGTCTGGCCAGTGGTGAACATCCTTGTCAAAGAAATCACCAAGAATTCTGCTTCACATAAAGCTAGGATCTTTCCAACACTTCGCGTTCTGACAACGATCGGGGAAAAGCTCAGTCAGACCTCGCCGCCCGAGGACAAGCTTGTGCGCCGAGAGCTTGCGGTGAGTGCAAACATCGTTGATCCTGAATGTCTGCTCCGAGCTATCTGTTCCTCATTTCGTCTTTTGTAACTCCGCAGGAACACGTCGTTGCTCTAACAGACCTTGCTATCACGATATCCGGTCGCTCGTTTGACGCGAAGACGTGGATGCGACGCTCGGGCAAGGATACGGACGTGTTGTCGGTAAATGGAGATGGCAAATCGACACCCGATGATCGAATGGCACAGTCCTTGACAGAGCCTGCACAGGCAAGCGGCCTGCTGCCTCAACTCGTCAGTGCGCGTGGTTTCCGTTCTTTCCGCGCGGAATTCGCTAACCCAACGCTTGTTGACAGATAAACGATTACCTGGCAACGCGCATCCTTCCCGCTCTCCGCAAGTTTGGTGTTCATCAAGACAAAGTGTTGGCAATTTGCACAAACGCCATCTACTACATCGTTGCTCCGAGTTTGAAGAGCCGAGATGAGTGAGTACTTCCTCTTCCCTTGACGAGATTCGGGGCGTCTCACTTACGCTTCTATCCCATTCGCAGGGCACTCGACATTGATGTGCATGCTCTCAAAGTTTTGCGAGAGCTGACGCGACAATCTGGAGCCCTGAAAACATGGCGAGGCTTGGTCGCCGACACGTTCGGTGACCCGCGCTTCTTCTCGATGGCCCCGAAGGCCAGCATTGGCTGGCAGCCGATTGTCTTCGCACTACACAACAGTGATAGGGAACGCTTTATCGAGTTGTTGAGTGAGTCACCTCTCATTTCACTGCACACGACTTCTAGCGACTGATCACGATGTTCCTTGTGCTTGCAGACAAAGCTGTCGCACCTCCTTCCGCTAACATCTTCGCCAATCGAGAGACGGAGACGCTTACGCGATGTCTCAATATGCGCCGGGCCTCGTTCGTCATCTTCTCTGGACCCAAGGATCACTTCATACCCCTTCTGCCAAGCATTCAAGAAAAGGTCGTCGACATCTTGCGCACCAGCAATGCTGATCGATCAGCCGCAGAGGTATGTCGTTCAGCGTCTTCGTGGCTACTATGAACACGTCTGAACGACGCATGTCCTGGTTGTCGCAGGTCTACCTGTGTATGCGTGTCCTCCTACGGAGTTTCTCAACGCAGCATCTGGCCGGCTTTTGGCCAGTCATCATCACAGAGATGGTGAGGACTTCGCGTGGGTTGCACAAGTAGCGAGCTCCCAACTCACACAATTGCCCCTTTGCTCGCCAGATGCGGCTTTTTGAGAGCTTGTCAGACGAGCTACCTGCGGACGGGTCCGACGCATTGCACTCAGTTCTGTCCGCCTGCAAATTCTTGGACCTGCTTCTGACGTTACAAACAGACGACTTCCAGATGTGCGTTCGATTTATTGAGCATTCGATTGGATGTAGCTGGTACTAATTGCTTTTCTTCTTGCGTGTGGCTTAGACATCAATGGATGTTCATTACCGACACCTCGGACGTTGTCTACCCAAGCGACGACTGGGCTCCCGAGTCCGTCATGGAGCGCGTTGCATCTATCATCGAAGAGCGGCGACCTGCTCCGGTAAGTTTACAGACCTGCATTTGAGAGCTCAAGCCCGTCCTGCGCTCACGCTGGGGCTTGTGTCTGTGTACAGCCTCAGAGAGGCTCTCAAACCACATCGAGCGTTCTCAAGACGTCTGCGGCGGACTCGGCTGGGGCTGTGCCACCTTTACAGAAGCGAGGTTCCCGTGCAGGACCTTTGCGCCGACCTCTTTTGTGCTCGACACGCAGTGTACAGAGCATTGAGGCGTTGCAGCATTTCTTCGCGCATGTCAGCTTGGCCAGTTACGAGTCAACACGGGCGTGCACATCTGTTGATTTCGAGGCCATCGACGATGCGTTGCGGAGCGAGTTTTTCGATCTCCATGTTGCCTAGTAGTGCGATAAGTCTTCGGGACGGCGTGCTTTTCCTTCTGCTCGCGTGTAATTGTACATGTTATTGCTGGACAGGCCCGCCGGGGGGCTCGCCTGAGTCTTGGTGTCATTGTGATCCCCTTCTACTGTGTTGTGAGTGTCGCACGCCACGGTGCCGCCCAGCCCTCGTTCGTCATCGCGGCTGCAAGGCTACTAGACTGCATCGGCAATGTGTGAAGTGCGGAGCTACGTCGGCTGAGGGATGGGAAAGTACTTCAAATCTCATCATCGCCCAAGGATGAAGTGAGACCGGCCATCAGGCCATGCGGCGATCCAATTTGAAGTTCGCGCTCGATGAACATCACTTCCCGACCCGCTTGCCTGCTGGTATCGCCACATCCAAAGCACCGCTCAATGTGGTCTCCAACTCCGACCGAAATCGCTTTGAGCCTAGATTTCTCGCAGGAAACGCCGATTGGGACTCCACTGGCCGATTTTAGGTACCGCTATCAAGAACCGCTGCCCCATTCCGACGATGGCTTTTCATGTGCAGCAGCGAGGTTTCATCATGAGCAACTCGCACAAAACAAGCACCCTTTGTCGGTCCATCACCGGCACGACTGCTCCCCTGGCCTGCAAAGACAAGATTGCCACCTCGATTCGAACGGTGCAGAGCATCACAGAGTCAGTTGAGCTCGGTTCCGTTTCCGGGCGGGCTCGCTCGAGACGGCCACGACGCGAGGCGCCGGCGTCGCTCGGCTCAGCGTCGGAACGGAAGCAAAGCAGCGTACGTGCACTTGCGAAAGAAATTAGCCGAGATTCAGTCGCGCTCTGCCGTAAGCAAGACGCCTCGCATTTGATCGGCCTGTGGGGTTTCACATCTGCAATGCCAATGCTCGGGTCCCAGCTGTTGAGGCACTTGCCACGGCCCATCCGGACACTATTGACTGTCGATCGTCATTGAGAAGCACTCGCAAACTCTCTTCCTCTTCGCCCTTGCAGCACCTGGAGTGCTTTGAAAAGACGAATGTCTGATTGGCTGCTCCCATGCCAGCATAGAGTCTTGTTTGAGGCTCGAGAGACCGCCGCTCTTCCATCGGCTAGAGCACGCGGAGCTCAACCACCTCTTGCGGTGCTTCTGAGCTCAGGCGGAAGAAATCTGATCGTTGGCTTGCAATCGTCAATGTCGAGATGACACGCACTGCACGATGTCTGGCCCGACGGCGACAGCCAAGAGATGGTCATGCGTCAACCCTGCCTCGGTCGAGTTCAGTGAGCAAGCAAGAGGTGGGCGGGGCAGGAAGCACACACCCCGCACAAGGGCAAGATCTACCGCTCCGTCGGAGGATTGGCACCTCACCGGCACCGTGAGGTCCGTGATTGATGGAAGGGCTGTCGTGTCGACCTTGCAGCGGAAGCTCCAGAACTCGACGCAGAAGGCCCGTCGACGTGCAGTAGCGCCTCCAAGCTCACTGCTTAGCATGCACTAGTGGTATCATGCAGTCCACTTGCAATCTTGGCTCGAGAGGCCACAGCCTTAGTTGTTTACGGAACAAAGATGCCTGCTGCTGAAGTAAGTGATAGACCTAACTGTTCGAGAGACTGGGTGTTTAGCCGAAGCTGATGTGACAGGTACAGACGACCTTTCTCTTTCCAATTGGCCCTGGACTGCACTGTAGGTGCCAAGTGTACGGTACCTAAGTGTCCATGCGAGCTGACTCATGCGTTCACCATCACTTCTGGGAATTTGAAATTGGTCGCGCTCACAGTGAAGGCGCTTGCTTGCTGTCCTGTCTCAGCCCCTATTTCACTGTACCGTTATCCACTTGCAGCGGTACTTCACAGACACAAACAGCAGGTATCCGCTTTCCTCACTTGGTGCGATGACACACCCTGCCACAGCCAAGCCAGCATTCGTGTCCATGGGAAACCTCCAAGACCACACGCCGCAGCCTTGTCGAGCGAGGGCAGGTGCCGCTGTGCGGTTGGTGGAGCTGCAGTGCAGCGAGCGAGCGAGCGAGCTAGCAGGTCTCCGAGCGTCTGAGACAACAGCGTCAATCTTCAATGGTGTGTTTGCGTGATAATTGCATGCACGACAGCGGACTTTGTACAAAGCGATGGCGAGCGTGAATGAGGCGGTTGCAACATGTATAGACGAATGGCATTCGATTTCGCCAGCTCCTCTGCCACAGGCATCGAGCTGAGGGCAGGCAGTTGAGGTGCAGAGATGAAAAGCGGCACGGCGCACAACCTGCATGAAACAACTTTTCGACATCTTCGATGCGTTCCTCCCGCTTACCCGGGGCAGCGAGTAAACTCGGGAGGTCCAGACAGGAGACATCAATGTGCCCATGGTGTGTCCACAGGTACATGCAGGCCCCTCCTCTCACGCCCGTAAGCTAAAGCCACCGTCGCGCTGATGTGCGCGCATCCGCGACGCGAGATGATCGACGTGCGTCGCTGACACAGGCCAAAGTACCGAGGCAGTCAAAGTCGTGAGTCATGAGATGGAGCCGCTTGCACGTGTGAGACTGCAGTCAAGTACCCTTGCGCTGCAG